TTTTTTCTATTTTTGGCTTTTCAAAATAATAATAATGAGAGAGCTCGATTAATTTTCCCACGTAAAATTCATTTTTTCTTTTTTTTTTAAGGAAAAAAAAGTGTGTCATCCAAAAATTGATATTGATTCGTTAAAAAAAAAAATTTTTTAACGGATTATTTTACCGGTAAATATTACGTTTTTAAAGTTACGTAAAAAATGTGCCTACAATTTTACGTTTTTTTTTTTTTTTTTTTTTTTTTTTTTTCTAAAAATAATGATAGTTTTGCGGTTTAAAAAAAACGCCATTTAATAAATAAATTTAATATTGATAAACCAAACATGGATCGTGCATAATAATTTTTCAATGCGTGCAGACAGACAGACAATTTTAAATCAAAAAAATGATTTTTGAACTTTTTTTTTTCTCTCTCTCTCTCTCTCTTCTCACTTCACTTATTTATTGACATTTGTTACAAAACCAGTTTTCTAGATAATTCTACTGCGCATTTATCACGGCGGCATAGTTGAAATTTTATATTTATACGAATTTAAACACACCAAAATTCAATTACGGAAATTTTTTAATTTGATTTTTTTTTAGAAAATCCACAAAAAAAAAAAAAACATTTAATGGACAATCTTTTTGCACACAATTTGAAAAGAGTCTCTGCCATAAATCACAAATTTTTTTTTTTTAGGTTTTATCAACGTGGATTAAGCAGTGATAACAAAAAATAAATAAATTCTGGCGCTTTAAAAAAATTTCATTTTAATTGTTATTATTTTACATCTGATTATCGTTTACGACATTTTAAAATATTTAAAAAACTCGAAAATCCACGAGATCTATCTACATTTTCCATTTTTTGATATAAAGTTCGACAAAAAAAATAAATTACGATATCGTTCAAGAATCTTTAGAGGACATATTTTTTAAAAAAAATTTTTAATTATGATAATAACTTTAAAATTACTCACACGACACAACCTCGGTCGTCGAGTATACATAAGAATTAAAATGAAATAATTTTTTAATTATTTATTGCTACTACCACCATCATCATCATCATTATTATTTTTTTAAGTCGTAATGCAAGTAATAAATTTTAAAAGAATTAAGTAACGTTTTTAAAATGGCGAATACTAATCTCCATGGTAGTAGTAAAGATATAAATAAATGGTATTGCTCAACTCGCGTATCTATCTCTTTCCCTTTTTTTTTTTTTTTTTAAATACCTATTTTAAGTATTAAAAAAAAAAAAAAAACGTCATTTCCGTTAAAAAGGTTCAAACTTTATCCATTTTATTTACTCTTTTAAAATACCACCTTTTTTGTAAATACGGGGATTAATTCATATACCTTTATTTTTTTGTAAAAACCCTTCAGATGATATTTATCGAAATTTCAATACCCGTAATATTAATAATAATAATAATAATAATAATAATAATAAATCGTCACGACGAAACTCATTCCCTAACGGAAACCTCCTGTGATTTATAAGAAATTTCGCAAAGACCTTTGATCATTAGAAAATAGAGAAAATTATTATAAATTATTATAACTACCTGATAAAACGTGATAATTACGAACAAACGTCGTTTTCGACCATTCATCCATATTATCTTTAACAAAAAATTTTTTTCACACGTCCTAACTCGGATAATTATTATCGCAATAGTAAAAAATAATTTTAATTTGAGGAGAAAAAAAAAAAAAAAAAAAAAAAAAACAAATTATTTTTCGTAACTTTTATGAAAAGTGTCATAAAAAAAAAATAAATAAATAAATAAAAAATTACGTAATTTTTTTTTTTTTTACAAACAACCAAGGCAAGGGGTCAAGATATTTAACAAAAAAAAAATATCTTAAATTTCAATATTTCGGCAACGGGAAAAAAAAAAAAAAATATCACCTCTCCAAATTTTTATCTTTTATATCGATATTTGATTTTTTATTTAAAAAACAACAACAACAACCAACGGCCGTGACGTAACAAATACTATCGGTTTTTTTTTTTTTTTGGGGGGGAATCACTTCCTAGAACAAATAAAATCCTTGCTTCCTTGTGTCAATAAATATTATTTTACAAGTCAGAGTTTAATCCGTGACGTGAAAATCGGTCGCACGGTTTTGTCTTTTTAGATTATAAAATAATAATAATAACAAAAAAATATAAATTTCGTCTAAAAAATTTTTTAAAACTTTTTTTTTTGTTATTTAGAGTAAAAAAATGAATAAATTCATTTCATGGCATTGTAAATTTAGGACATTTTTTTTTTTTTTTTTTCAAAACCCGTATAAATTAACAAGCTGGAAAAAAACGCACGCACGCACACACGCACGCACACACACACACACACACTTTTTTTTTATCTTTTTCGGAATTTTTTTTTAGAGAAAGTTTCTAAACTAAATTTTACAGCTCTTGCTAAAGGCGTCCCGTAAAATTTTATACAAAAATTACATCAAAATAAAAAGATTAAAATCAACTACGATTATCTAGTTGTAAAAATATAATTTCTTATTTTTTATCATTTCGTTACAAAGTGCGAAAATGTCGAAAATAAGTGGGAAAAAAAAAAAAATTTTTCATGCGGAAAAATCATTTTCCAGTAAAAAAAAAAAAAAAAAAAAAATTATTTTCAAAACAATTTATTCCTAAACATTCAAACAAGCTTATTTCCTATTGTGTTTTTATTTCTTTTTGCACGAACTCATCTTTTTTTTTTTTTTTTTTTTAAATTTTATTATTTTTTACGGATTTTATTTTTCAACAGGTACCATCCACGGATTATTTACGACCGTTGATTTTCAACCGTGTCAAAATTGTAAAAATCACCGATAAAAAAATAATTTTATATACCTACGAAAGTGAGACATGAGAAAGCTTCAATAAATTCAATCATTAATTTGATGGCTACCTTTAAACATCAAAATTAAATTTAAACTATAAAAAATTGTCAAAAAAAAACAAAACAAATACGTTATCAAATAAAGTTCAACAGTCATCTTTGGGTAAAAACTACGCTTGAATTATAAACAAATAAAACAATTGCGTGAAATCGGTTGCAAATAATTTTCCTTCGACATTTTAAAAGATAAAACCCGTGACATAACAAAACATACGAAAAAAAATTTATCTCTGTGAAAATTCTACCTCAAAGCAACAAATTTTTTCGTCTAGACTATGAATTAATGATAATTTTTATTTTAAGCTCTCGCAACAAACAACAAACAACAACAACAACAAAAAAACAAAAATTTTTTTTTTTAACGAATCGTTCTACGTTTTCATCATTTACTATATGTTTACATTTAATTTGTAAAAAAAATAACAAGAAGAGTAACTTTTGAACCTTTTAAACGGACTATTGATTTCCTAAAATACTAAAAGTTTTTGTTAAAAACTTAATACTAAAGTTAACTAAAAGAAATCTTTATTTCATGAACATCACGCTTAAAAAAGTTTTTTTTTTTAATTTTTTGACCTGCGTAAGATAATCAAAAAGGGAGCAGCTGCCATTCAAATTTTGTCTCCCTCTTAAAAAATGTCTATCTAATCATAATGATTATTCACAGTCTCCTCCTCTCCTATTGATGGTGGTATTGTATCTTATAGATTAAAAAGAAAAATTTTTAAACTTTTGTACTACTACTACTACTACTACTAATTCACATCGAAATTAAAAATACACTTCATCGTTTAAAATTTATTTTTAAACTTAACAACTTGGTGACAAAAAAAAAAAGATGCAAGAGTCTTTTTCTTCGAAAGGGTTATTATAATCCTTAAGCTAAACAACATTCAATAGTTAAAAAAATTTTTTTTTTTATATATATAATCCAACGACACTTGAATGATTACTAAAGTTTTCAACAAAAAAAAAAAACAGAAAACAGAACTTAATGAGACAAAAAATTTGAAAAATTCTTATCATTGCTGTAAATAAAGATGTTGTATTATTACAAAAATTTAAAATTTCAGTCAGGTAATAATTTATGATTTAAAAAATCATTAAAACTTTTAATAACTAAAATAATGAAATGGAAATAAAGTATTAGATAGTTTAAAAGTTTGACTTAGTTTTGGTATGAAAATAACAAAATATAATTTTATTATCAATTTGTCATTTTCCCTCAGGTAACAAACGAACCTAATTTCTCACTGATAAATGTTTATGAGTTCAAATTTTTTCTGCTTACACGTTCAATAGGAATCACTTTTTTTTTTTTTGTTAGATTTTAAATAGAAATAACGAAATTTTCTCTATTTAATCATTTTAAAAAAATAATAATTTCAATTTTTGGAGTTTGTCGAGACTCTATAACTGTCATGAATTTAATTATGAAAAATGTTAAATTATAATTTTTAACATTTATTCAATTATTAACAATAAATTTAATTCGTAAAAAATTATTTTTACAAAATTTTTGTTTTTTTACAATACAAGTATTAAGCATTGAATGAAATCGTACCAGTGTAAAATATAAATTTTAATAATGAATGTAATTGTATTGAGTAATAATAATATTTTTATCAAAATGCAATGTTATTACTGATGTTAATGAGAAAAAACTAAACGATAAATAAAAAAAGAGAAAATTCTTTACTTTGTAATAAACGTGCTATTATAAAATTATAAAAATTAATAATCAAATTCAATCGATTTGTAAATTTAAAAAGTTTTGCATCATTAATTTAAAAAAAGTAACTCAAATTAGTAAAAAATAATATTATAAAATAAAATTATTAATAATGTATTAATAATCGTAATAATCACTTTATGAAATTGTCTTAATTACTTAAATAAATTTAATTTTAAAATATATATATATATATGTAACTTACCCAATCGGTGCCAGATAAATGAGATTTGCATTGTGTTTGAATTTTTTCTCCTAATCTTGATTGTACTATAATTTGTGCTGCTTTTAGTGCTAAAAACTTGATGAATTTGTCCAAGTCCTTTTTTTCTAGTGCATTTAATTTCACTGAAGCCATATTTTCTTTTTTTTTCTTACTACACACTAAAGTTAAATAATTTTACAGTTCAGTAACATATTATTACAAAAATCAATAATAAAAAATTTAAAATATGCGTTCATAACGTTCCTGAAATAATCACACCATTTTTATATTTAATTCGTTAGGACAACCTTCGAGATGTCATACACGATATTAAGAAATATTGAGCTTTTAATTTAAATGCAATGCTGCTGTTTTTTGACATTGAGTGTGCAGACATTTATGAAAACCGTTGTACTTTGGCGCCAAGGTCTAGGTTATGCAAAATTACTATTTTGGGATACCAAAGGCAATAAATAAATTAAAATTAATGTCGATAATTAAAAAAAAAAATAAGTTATATAACCGTGAAGTTATTTAAAATGGAAATTATATTTTAGCAAAATAAACGATAAGAGCGCCTAATATATTCATGCACACCCACCGCTTATACGACAAGAAACCCTCGCCCTCGGTTCGTATCACAATCACACGTTTCTATTTTATTGAATTTATATCAATTCTTTTACAAAAAAAAAATACTTTAATTTAAAATTGGAAATAAAGAAAAAATTCTTCGTACTGAACATGACACCAAAATCATAGCACAAAACTTTAATTCACCTTCGAACAAGTACCCAATATCACGAAGCATTTCTTAGTGCCAACACAATGATCATTTGCAATTAATAATCACAGCCTTCTATAATTAAAAGAAAGCGCCCCTAGCGTTGGTAAAGCGAACTACGTTTGAATGTTGCATAATGCGCATTTAGTTGTCGTTAATAAATATTTTATATACTAAAAACTGTAAATAATAAATTTAAATTGAATTCATTAAAAAAAAAATTAATTTTAACGATTAAAATTTATTAAAATGTAAAATAATATTTTATAAAACTATTTTAATTTTTTATTAAAATTAAAATTAGTAAAAATTTTGACGCTTTCTTAATTTCAAAAAAAAAAAAAAAAAAAATTATCATTCGGTAATAAATGATTTTTTAAATATTATTGGCATGATTCAATCAAAATCTTTTAAAATATACATATTTTTTTCCCCGAATTCCTTATAAACACAAAATAACTAGAGTATTTAAACTTTTATTTTTAAAATTATAATAACTGAAATTAAAAAAAAGTATTAATTTTCAGTTTTAAATTTTAAAAAAAATTATTACTCTAAATATACTTTTTAAAGCCTTCTTAGTCTATCTTATGTAGTAATAAAAATATTTTATTATAGCTCTAAATGCTAATTGGTAATGATTCTTTATTATTGCATATAAGTAAATACAAACTTTTATGTATTCGTATGTAAATTTTTTTTATGGCATTTTATATATACAATTAGTAAAACCTAATAAAGGAATGAATTTCGTTGTGAAATAGAACCTTCAAAACTCATTATTTCAGTTAATTTAAACTATAAATATTTCATAAGAAATTATCTTTTAGTAACATTCAACAAAAAATAAATCGGCACTCAGAGATCATAAGGATTATTCAGTTTTTCTTTTTTTTAAGTTTCATTCACCAAGAATCGCGTTGTTTCCTCTATATTTACATTATCCGAATGTTCGTATTTATTAACTTTTTTTAATCCTTCTGGAAGATTCTCTTCTCTGACACTAAATGTAAAATTTTGTTATAAATTTTTAAATGAAAAATTACAAATAATCACGTTGTATCATAATCTACTTACATTACACAAGTTTCTATTTCTTCCTCATCAGAAGGCACTTGATAATATGGATTTGCAGAAGCTGGCCTAAATTTATACCCCGTTATGACAAAACATACAAAAGTTGCCAACTCTCGAAACATTTCATCCAACCATTCGTATTGAAATGTGACCGTAATCTAAAAAATTTGCAAACATATATATAATAAAACGTTTAGAACAAAAATAATTGTCACTATGTTGTGTGCTTTACCTTTAATATATAAACTATTATCCTAGTAAAATAAAAATAGCAAACAATCATAATATAAAAATGTCTAAATAATTTTAATTTTCTTAAATTTATAGCTGCTTTTCCATCAGTGTAACTAGCTTCTTGTAGATGCTTTATTGTCCAAACTACGGGAAACATGATAGCCCCACAGCATAATATATCAACTAGTATAAAAATGTCCCACCACGTTTGCTGTTCAGCATCTCCTTCTTCAGATTCATCGATTATAATTTTAGCTATATTGGCTAATACTTGCAAAGGAAGCACAATCATAAAAATTTTTTTGTGCTTTTCTGATAAAGCATCTCCGCGCCTTATAAAAGTCCATCCAGTACCAATAAGAAGAATTACGGTGAAAAGAACGGAACCTTTTAACCTTCAAATAGTACAAAACAAGCGTTTTAAATCGAAAATTTGTGTAAAAATACATTTATAGAACTTTTTAATTAAAACTTACAAATAAATGATGTAGAAAAGAATTGCCCATGTTTCAACATGTTCTCCATTTCTTTGAATAAAATGAAAATGAATTCCGTGAAATAATAGGGATAGACATTTTAAATAAACTAAAACTACCATAAGGTAATGAATTTTAAATACGGGATGCCTGAAATAAATGAAATAAATTTTGAAAGAGAGTTTTATTTAGTAGATTGTCATTTTAAAAAAAAATTACTTACTTGCTTTTCATTAAAATGTAAAGCCAAAATGTACCACATAAGAAAAAAATCATTGACATCATAAAGTATAAACCAGATAAAGGCATTTCCCCAGCGGATAAATAATTATTTTGATTGATCTCTTCTATTTCAATCTAAAATGTAGTAAATAAAATAATATAAATAATTGAATAATTAAAAAATTATTTACTTACTTAAAATAAAAAATTTTACTCACTTTAAAATCTACTTTTACAGCCATTTTTTTATTATAATTTGGACAATTGTGAAAATACAAATTATACAGTCCTTGAGAAGCTTCTGAAGGAATGAACACTAAAAACTGCAAAATAAATTTTTAAAAATCATTTAAATATTATAAAAACTTTAATGTTAGTTACTTGTTTAAAACTTCAAAATTTTCAATTACATCTTACCTCAGCACTTATATTTTTTTCTATTTTCATTGGAACCAAAACTTGAGCTTTACTATTTCTCGAGTTAAAATATTTTCCATTATTGGATAAAAGATTATTGGGATAATTTTGATAATTACTTGCATTATATAGTTCTTCTTTATTTTTAAAAATTCTAACCATATTAAGTGTTCTACCATATATCATTAGGCTGAAAAAGTTTTAGATATAATAAACATATTAAATAATAATAAAAATTAACTTTAAATTTTTTAAAATATCAACTTACCTTTTAGACTTAAAATTCATTACAAAATATATGGAATTTTTAAAAGCTCCTACTCCCATTTCGCCACTATCAAAAGATCTTTCTAAAACACATTTATCCTGATGATGATCTAAATATGGATTCATTATATACCTCATCGTTTTGTCCAAAGAAAACCCAAACACATCATTTTCTCTAAAAGGAACACTTTGAAAGTATTTTACTTTAACATTAAGTATACCACCCTCATAAAATCCAAAAGTACTTAATGGAATATATTTTCTCGTATCATTCTTAAAAAAAAAAAAAAAAAAAAAAATAAATAAATAAATAAAATAAAATCAGGTAGTTATAAATGATTTACATTATGCATTTTTTATAGTAAAAAAAAAAATTAACAACATAAAATATCTTACTAATATTTCCAATTTATGAATTCTTCCATAAGCATTACGCAAGAAAAGAAAAAATAAAATAACTAAAAAATTCATTTTGTCAAACCATATACTATCTTTTAAACTTATAAAACAAAAAAATCATTTTATTAACTGTTTATTAACGTAAAAATATTTTAAATTTAACAACAAGTTTTGTCATTTCAATTTTTTTTTTTTCCTATTGAAAAATATTTTACGTCATCGAAAAAATAGGCATAAAAATTAATGAGTTGTAAAGTAATAAATTTAAAGTAAAAAATATTATTAAATAACACAAAATAGAAAATTATTGACTACAATGCTAATTTTTTATTGTAAAATCTCAATAAAAATTTTAGTTGTAGCAGAAAATTATTTTTTATAACGTGCCATAGAGTAAAAATTGACGCCATTTTTGTCAATATTCAAAAATGGCTCACCACGTAAACATTCAAAATTGTTTTCTTTCAACGAAAAATTCATTAATTTACAACCTAATAAAACTCAAAACATAGAATCCCTAAATTCATTTTTTATGTATATATATTTAAAAAAACAATCATTAAAGCAAAGAAAAAAAAACTTTTTAATATTAAGTGTATCAAATTAATTTATTAGTTTAAAAAAGAAAAAAAAAAGTTACAAATAAATTAGGTTATTTGGTTTATTATTTTGGCGAGGATTTAGTAGATAAAAAAATTTTTTTTTTTTTTTTTTATCTAAGTTAAAGCTAATTTTAAGTATTATGAGCCCAAGCTTGAAAGTCTTTTTTTAATTCATTGAATTTCCCATTTAACATTGATTTTCTAATCGTTGAAAGAAATTCAAAATAGTGATGAATGTTGTGTCTGAAAAAATATAAAATTTAAATAAAAAATAAATCATTTTATAAATATTTTAAAACCTATTAAAAAAAAAAAAGAAATTTTTTGTCGATTATAGTTTAAATATGTATATTCCAAGGAAGAAACATTTTACAAATTTTTCAATTGTTTAATCACCACAAATGATTTATGTAGTCTATAATCATTATCAATAGTTTAATCATTATACAATTTTGAAAAAAAATATACTTACATTTTTAATAAAGTTAATCCAAGCAATTCTTTTACATTTACTAAATGATGTATGTAGGCCCTTGTGTGATTTTTGCAAGTAAGGCAATTGCAATTTTGCAACAATGGAGAAAAGTCATCAGCATAACTGTAAAAAAATTTTTTTTTTTTTTTAGTTTCCATTTTAAAAATAAAAGTAATAAACAAAATAATACTTGATGATGGTTACCAAGAATCTGAAATTGAAATGTAATATTTTGGAACAATGGTTAATTTTTTTTTTTTCGATGGGGGAATTAATTCTTGATTTGAATTCGTTTTTATCGTTTTGCCGTTAATTTCATGCATTTTGTTAACCCCATAACAACCATTTGTGTAAGAAAAAGAAAAGATTTCACTTTTGTTTGGAAAAATAAGAGCTCTTTTTTGCTCTGTAATAAAATATGGATAAGAAGAATCAAACAAATCAAAACCATAATCTATTAAGTCTAATACTGTACTAGGATTCCAACATCCATGTATAATCCTTAACTTTTCTACAGGAATATATTTCTAAAAGAAATAATTTAATTAATTAAGTACTCTTAATAATAATAATAATAATAATTAATGTATTAGTAAAAAAATTACCAAACTGGCATCCAATGCTGGCTTAATATCACTGAATTTCATGTTTGCAACATGCTCACTGCAATCATGCAAACCATCAATTACAACACCAAAAATTGGACCTGTACCAATTATTTTGCTACATTCTTCCCTAAGTTTAAGATCAAAACCACCTTCAACAGCAGCAAGCATATAACTTTCTTTTAATATTTCTGACTGTTTGTAGTATTCTAAACACTTATCAAAAAATAAAGCTGTATTTTGATAAGATTTCACATTTCTTTTTTTGAAGCTATTTATATCTGTGTCTCCATCAGCTAACATTAAAAACATGTCTGGTTTTAAATCTTCAATTATTTCCATATATTCTGCAGCTGAGTAACATTTTCTTCCAAATCTGGTCCAAAATGAAATTTTTTCTTTTTCATGATAACCTTCTTTTCTTTTTTCACCAGGATTTATTATGGAACAGTAAGTTAAAAATTCATTCATACCAATAAATTTTGCAATCTTGTCATTACTTAATTTAATTCTATCTCTAATATTAATTATGTGAGATATGGGAATGTGCAGACCTAAATTTTCACTAGTTATGTTTTCAATAATATCTGGAGTGAGATGAGGAACTGTTCCACTCTGAAACAAAATAAAAATTATTAAAAAAATGAAAAAAAAGTTCAAGTCAACAAAATTTTTAAGAATTACTTCTTGGGTAATTCCTAAAAAAAATAATTGTCAAATTAGTCATCAATTTGAAATACCTATTAAAAGATTTAGAAAATTAGGATAATTAAATTATTTGTCATTTGTGTAAAAAGGGATGAAAAACAACAGAAAAAGAAAAGTCTAATATTATAATTCTATAAATTATTCAATTAATTTGTACTTCGTTGACTTACTTTCGTATACAATAAAGCATGCGGAGTTTCCATTTTAAATTCTGGTAGCCTCTGTATGTCAGATATACAGCCCATTCGGGCAGAGACATCGATGAACTTAAATGAAAACTTCATTTTTAATAAAAGTAATAATACTAAATCATTCTTTGGTTGACCGGTATCAAATAAATAAATAAATAAATAAGTGTATAAGTATTTACATTTTACAAAAAATTACTCTACGGCTACGCGGCCCTGTAAAGATAGTTCTTCCAGCCGCCACAACTGCGCTTACCTTCGAAAGTAGAAGGCTGTGATTATTAATTACGAAGGATCACTGTGTTGGCACTGAGAAATGCTTCGTAAAACGGGATAGTAGTTCGGAAGTGAAAAAAAAGATTTGTGCTTTGAATTTACTGTGATAATCAGTATGAACCACGTATACCTAATTTGCACTTTCAAATAAAAATAGTTTTTTGGTACTAAAGAGGATTTAAATTTTTAAATAGATACAAGTGTTATTGTGCAAACGACCGAGGGCGAGGGTTTTTTTATATTGTTAAAGCGGTGGGTGTGCATGCATTTCAGGCGTTCTTATCGTATATTACTGCTGGACAATGTATTCATGGAACGCATGGAACTATGAACCTGGATTCGTTATCATTTACTTTGTCACAAATAACTTATTTGGTGGCAAATTTGTCAAAGAAAAACCTAAAACATAGTACTCAGGAACTAGCCAATGTAAGTACTTGAAGGTTTGAGTTTCTGTTAACAGATGGTGACTTGCCCAATGAAGGCTCTTTGTTCACTAAAATTTATTATTTTTATCTTTTGATGAATATAAAATTTATCTATTTAAAATATTTTATCATTTGCAAATTATTGAGCTTTTTTTTTTTTACTTTCTTAAATATTAAAACTAACGATTTTAGGCTAGCTTATTTTTCTTATTATGCTTAAAATAGTTTTAGCATAAAGTTATTGTTTTTTTTATTTTATTTTCAATATTTAAAAATTGTAATTTTAAATAGTTTTGCTATTTTATAAATTGAATATGCTTTGACCTAAATTTTTATTATGGCTTGGAATTCAAATAGATTAGAATAAATTTTTTATTAATTCTTTAATATAATACATATCATTGAAATAAGTTACCACAGTGTTATCTGTTCAAAGAAATATTGTTTATATTACATTCTTACAATATTTAAACTTATTTAGTAAACTTTTCCTTTTTCAGTTGGTTTTGTCTCACGGTCTTGAAGCTGATCGGCATTTATTGCGTTGCCTATTTTCCCACATTGATTTGAGCACTGAGGGAACTAAAAAAACCAACGGCAACAGCAAAGATTGTCTTCAGATTCAGCTGCTAATTCAAGAATGTGCCAATCTCATATCAAAACCTACATTGATTTCTCATGTTTGCTATGCTGTAGATAATCCATTACATCATCAAAAGGTATTCTTTATTTTAAATTATTTATAAAATATTTTAAGAAAATGTAAAAGTTGCATTTGAGGGGAAATTATGTTTGCCATTAAAATTATTTTTAAAAAACCTAATGGAAAAAAAGAAAAAGTGAAAACTTTAATAAAAGAGTTAATTAATATATATATATATATACTAAAATGTTTTTTAAAAATTTGAAAATTATTACTATATATTAATTTTATTTATTTTTGTGTTTTTAATCGATTTCAGACCTTAAAACCAACCCCTCACTTTTTTGGACAATTACGAAAAATTCTTAAGTTGACACCAGTTCAAGAAGTGGTATTTGGCTTAGCTTTAGTACATTCTTCAAATCCTGAATTTCAAAAGCTGTCTGTTCAGTTTACTAGGCAAAAGTTGCCTGATCTTATTGGGTCATATATTGACGCCGAAACTTCAAGTAGTAGACAACAGGAAGGAGGACTTCACGATACGACGCCTGAAGTTTTGCATTTAATATTAACCAGTTTAACTCAAGATAAATTTTCAATCAGTGTTGAAACAAAAACTGTTTTTTGGAAGCGTTTACAAAGAGACTTCCCGCGTGAACACGTGCCTGTCATTTTAGCGCCTTTGTTATATCCGAACAGACCGGATTTGCCAATGGAAAAAATTAATCAAGAAACAACAATAATGGCCAGTAATATTTTAGAAAATTCACTGCCTGATCTCATTATGGAGATGGGATATAATTTTTGCTCTTCAATTGAAGAGTGTAAAAACAATCTTATAAATTTTAGTGCTCGAGATTTGCCCCCGGGAGCCGTTGCTCGTGTTATAACCATGATGATTCGGTCTCATACCGGTTTGGGAGATCAAATAAATTTACAAAGTTTACAAAATCCACCCAATTTTTGGGGTAATGAAAAAAGTGATAAAACTCCGAATGATTTAAATCATCCTACAACATGGAATATGGAAAATTTTATACAAGCCGTTAAAGAGTTATCTCCAAATATATCTTGGAGAGACGTTGTTTCCGAACTGGATAATCCTGATTTTTTGATCAAAGACCGGCAAGGCTTTAACTTATTATTTAGTGGGTTACGTTTAATGTTCGGTGTTTTGTATCAACCTTTCCCGATTGAATTGTTTTATCGGAAGTGGAAGAATACAGATGGTCAGTACTCATTAATAATGCAGATTTTGAAGAATCCGGACACTTTTAGTTTTGCAGATTATCCATATCATTCTGTAACTGTGGATATTTTAAAAGCTACTCCGGAAAGTGACAATAAAGAAATCACGACTTGGAGATCCTTAGATCTAATTGAAACGTTACTCTACCTGTCTGACAGAGGATTATATAGCCAAGTGCAAGAGTTATTTAAATTTCCAGTTCATCATTGCCCTGATGTCATAGTACTTGGCTTATTGCAAATTCAGCCTCCTCTAACCGTTTTAAGGCAAGAATTACTTACTAATCTAATGCCAATATTTTTGGGAAATCATCCAAATTCAGCTATTATACTTCACCATGCATGGCATTGTGTCAACATTTCAATTAAACCTATTATTATGCACGCGATGGCTGAGTGGTACCTAAGAGGAGACAACGATCAAACTCGACTGTCACGAATTTTAGATGTAGCTCAAGATCTCAAGGCTCTATCTTTACTATTAAATGCCCAATCATTTCCTTTTGTGATTGACTTAGCCTGTTTGGCATCTCGAAGGGGATATTTAAAATTAGATAAATGGCTTACCGACAAAAGTGGAGAACATGGTGAACCTTTTGTATCCGCCTGTGTGAAATTCCTGCAAAGACGTTGCCCGCGCATCATGGGAGCTGTAAAAGAAGATAACATCCCGAAAGCAGCTCAACTTCCTCATGAAACTCTTGCAACTATGCTTGCTGTTCTCCAAGTTTGTGCTCGAAACGTATCGCAAGAGTTGTCAGATGCCATCCTGGCAATGGTTGGAAACTGTAATCTTTTGATTAATAATTCAAGGCAACCTCCTCCTGGAGTGTTGAGGCATCGTGGTTTGGATCAAGCTTTCAATCCATTTCCTACTCCACCAGTTGATTCTATAACAAATTTGGGAAGCAGTTTGGCTGGAATGGGACTTGGAATGGCGCCTCCTAGCAGTTCGGCTTTTAATTTGCCAGCTAGCTTGGGACCTTTAGTGTCGACACCAGGATCTCCTTCCAGATTGATTGGTGCTGGACCGTCACAAAGTCCCTTTCCTATCATACCTTTAGGATCTGCTCTTCAGCATCCAGTAGGTGCTCCACAAGTGGTACCCACTGCTACGTCACTTGTAAATGTTAATACCATTGGAGCCCTTGCTCGTATACCTCAGCCGGGAGTCGAAAAAGCTCAAACACCCAGCCTTTTTGGAGACATGCTGCAAACCGTGTCTAAAGAAGTAGAAGAAGAAGCTAACAGTTATTTTCAGAGAATATATAATCATCCACCTCATCCTACTCTTACAATCGAAGAAGTATTAGAAATGCTTAAAAAATTTATGGAGTCTCAGAATAAGAGAGAAAGAGTTGGTTTTCATTTTTTTTTCTCTTGTAATTACTTTAAATTCATTCCAAAATACCTAATACTGATTTTCTGATTTTTAGGAAGTATTTCATTGTATGTTGAAAAACCTATTCGAGGAATACAGATTTTTCCCTCAATATCCAGATAAAGAATTACATATTACCGCTCAATTGTTCGGAGGCATTATTGAAAGAGGTTTGGTACCTAGCTACATGATTTTGGGTCTTGCTCTAAGATTTGTCTTAGATGCTCTTCGCAAGCCTTACGGAAGTAAAATGTATTTTTTCGGGATTGCCGCTCTCGACAGATTTAAATTTCGTTTGAAAGAATTTCAAAAATATTGTGAACACGTTGCTAACATCCCTCATTTTAGTGATTTTCCAGCGCATTTGATTGAGGTAAATGTTTTTTTTTTTTTTTAAATATCCTGACAGGTTTATTTACTCGATTTAATTTTTTTTTTTTTTTTTTTATTAATATTAGTATGTAGAGTACGGACTGCAATCGCAAGAGCCTCCGAACCGACCACAAGGTCAAGTTTTACCTTCTGCTATTACGGCAATTTTGCAGCAAAGTTTAGGACAAACAACTACCATTTATAAAACCATGACAACCACTACTCTGACTACAACTACCACTATTAGTAAAGTGACTACCACGTCGTCTCTACCTCTTCGTCCATCCATAGCAAACGCTACAAATATAGATACACTCCTGGTTGCGACCGAAAAAGAAGAAAAAATGACCGCTCCACCTGATACCATGCAGGTAAATTTCGATTTCAATATTTGTAATTTTTACTCACTTTTAAAAGTAAAATATTAACACAATGTTTAAAAAAAAAAATTTAAATTTAATTATAATTTGACTTACAGGATAAAGTTGCGTTCATATTCAACAATTTAAGTCAATTGAATTTACAATCGAAATGCGACGAATTGCGAGAACTTGTGACAGAAGAATACTGGCCTTGGATGTCTCAGTACCTCGTCATGAAACGAGCCAGCATCGAGTTAAATTTTCACGTATTGTACTCTAATTTTCTGGACGTCTTGAAAATTCCAGAAGTGAATCGTATGGTGTTACGCGAGACGTACCGAAACATAAAAGTATTGTTGCGTAGCGACAAAGGCATAGCTAACTTTTCCGACAGGTCGCTTTTAAAAAATTTGGGACATTGGTTAGGAATGTTAACATTGGGTCGAAATCAACCTATTTTATTTGTTGATATCGATGTGAAAAGTTTACTCGTCGAAGCCTATCACAAGGGTCAACAAGAATTGCTTTACGTCGTTCCTTTTGTGGCAAAAGTTTTAGAATCATGCGCGAAAAGCAAAATTTTCAAGCCGACAAATCCTTGGACAATGGCAATTATGAACTTATTGTCGGAACTTCATTGCGAACCCGATTTAAAATTGAACTTGAAATTTGAAATTGAAGTTTTATGTAAAAATTTGGATATAGACGTTAAAAAATTAAAACCCTCGGGATATTTGAAGGATCCAAAACAACTGGAACTTTTGGAGCACCAATTAAGTCATCCGAGCAAAAAATCAGAAAATCAACAAAGTGCTCCATCGCAACTGCAGACACAAACTGGTTTGTATATTTATTATTTTTTTTTTTTTTTTTTTTACACTACTCTCGGCACCGAGCTTGTTCTAGAACTTTAAATATTCCCTTTTTAAAACGTACCGTTGTCATCAAAACAATTGAAATTTATCGGCAGCCATTTAGGCTGTTTCATAACAGTAATTCATTGCAATTTTTTATTTTTTATTCTTAACAATGGAAATTACAATTCGTTTCCAAGATCAAAAATCATTAATTTTAACTTTTTGGATTTTTCCGCTATAATACTGTGGAAGTTAGTAAGTACGGCTCACCTACTAATAACAAAAAAATCTCATTTGCTCTAATAATAATTTATATTCTGACGTTTTATTACTTAACAGCTTCTCAGAGTAACGTATTATCGAATGCTGATGAAATCACAAATGCAACCACTGTGGCGCCAGCAACTTCGGTGGCACCAACAACGACGACCCCCATGTCAAATATCCCTCCCGGACCACCAGAACCTCGTTTTAATTACATGGATTTGAATGTGTCTAGCGTTTCTAATTTAACTCCTCATATCACCATAAACAGCCAAGTAATTTGATTTACTCGTAATTTTTTTATACAAATGTTTATATATATATATATATATATATATATATATATATATATATATAGGTAAAAGTAATGGGTGTTATAAAAAAAATTGTATTAGTTACAGTTATTTCAAGCTCACCCTCACTTGAAGCAACTCGTCGTTAGTGCCGTCGAGAGAGCTGTGCAAGATTGGATTCATCCGGTGGTAGAACGCTCGATAAAAATTGCCGTCTCCACTTGCGAATATGTTGTAAAACAAGATTTTGCGGTTGATCCAGACGAATCACGTATGCGAATTGCTGCCCATCACATGGTTCGAAATTTGACCGCGGGCATGGCTATGATTACCTGTAGAGATCACATGATAACTTCAATAAGTGCAAATTTGAAAACTGCTTTTGCTAACGCCTTGCAAGGTGCCACTCCTCAGCAACGTGAATTGGCAGATTCGGTTGCGACTAGCATTGCCGAAGACAATATGGAATTGGCTTGTGCTTTTATACAAAAGGCCGCCATTGAAAAAGCCATTCCCGAAATTGATAAAAGATTGTTGTCGGTTCGTACACACACACACACACACACACACCTTTTTTTAAAACGACGATAATTCGAGCTGCTACGATATTATAATTTGAGTAAATTTTTTTTTTCAGGAATACGAATTACGTAAAATAGCGAGAAACGAAGGTAGAAGATATTGCGATTCTCAAGTTCTTACATATCAAGCTGAAAGAATGCCCGAACAAATTCGACTTAAAGTAGGAGGAGTTAATAGTCAAAGAATGATTGTTTATGATTTTTTTGCTCGAAATATTCCTGGATTTTTGCCACTGTCAGATAGAGATACTGCTTTGTTCATACCGAAACCTGTTTCCGTAAGTTTATTTTTCATTATTATTATTATTATTATTATCATCATTACGATAAATGGTTTTTGTTCGAAATTAATTAACTACTCACGGCGTTACTCGGTAAACAATTATTTAAAAAAAAAATAAAAAATAAACTGAATTTTTTTGAAATGTCTTCGTTTAAATATTTAGATGGATTTCGGAGAAAGCGACAGAAAATTTTTATATTCAAAAAAATTATTTCACCCTTGTAAAAACGATCTGGATAATAGTGAGATATTATGTTATCCATCTCTGGAAGAATTTTTAACCTGTTCATACAAAAATGATGTATTTGAATGTTTGAAAAACCCGAAGAATCATAAACAAATCCTTCAATTTATCCAATTCATAAAGGTATTTCCTTTTTCCAGAAAATTTCCTTATTCTATCTTTCCTTTTTCAAATATATTCCTTTTACATTACAGATTCCACGAAGAGAGATATTAATTTAATTTTTCGATTATTTATAAATTTTTTCCTTTTTTTTTTTTTTTAATAGCAGGAATCTCATACGGTTACGGCCTTTCAAACAAGTAATCCGACTCAAATCGCGTATCAAAACGATGAAATCGGTCCTCTGTATGATAAATTAGCGTCAGAGTTAGATTTATGTTTCCAAAATGCTTTGGCAACCCCCGGAGTCATAGCTACCGCTAATCCTCAAATAGCAGCAATACAAAGTTTAAGAGATGCCTTACTCATTGCAAAAAGGTCTAGAGACCCAACTTCGGCTTTGGCATTACTTCAAAAAGTAAATTTTAACTCTTATAATTATTAGCGTTATTCATTTTTGTACTTACTTATGATTGATTGATTGATTTACTTTTTTCTAGGCCGTCGAAGGTCTCCTAGACGGAGTTCCTCAAATGTCAAACGTTGATCCCGATCTTACATTACGATTCAGAGAAGCTCATCTCCGAGTTCTCAAAGGTCTTCAAGATCCCAGAATGTACGGAGTTCAATGGACTAATAAGCACATAACGAGATGTTTGCTCGAATGCAGAGAAGAATGGCGTTACAATTTAGAAGCTGTAGATTGTTTGATCCGTTCTGGTTTGGTCAATTTTAATCAGTAAGTTGTCGACCAGATGATTCCTCATCGTTTTTTATTAGGCCTAAAAAAAAAAAATAATAATAATAATAATAATAATAATATTATTATTATTTCTTTGATTTCTAAACGGTTACGTTTTAAAAAAAAATGTTTGTTATTTAAACTTACCCGAATTTTTATTTCAGACTTAATAATTTACTTGAAGCCATGAGAGCAACTCACGATCCGACGACATTAACCGATTTGGCTCCTCCCGGACCGTTGGGTCACATTCATTCTGGAATTATGCAAGTTCGAGTAAGTATCAGTAGAGTAAAAAAAAAATTGAAAAATAATTTCAATAAATGTTTGTTTGGAAAATAAAATAAATTGTATTTAATTTATTAATTTAGCAAAGGGAATACGACGATCCTCAAGGATTTCCTGAAAAAACTGATTTCTTGTTAAGGGATTGGTTACACGTTTACTACAGTACTCGTGACGTAGGAAAGTCTTTTAACATGTTCGTGCATCAGGTAAAAAAAAAAAAATTTCATTTCGGAATTATTTGAACTTGTTCTTTACAATAAATTTACCTTTTTTTTTTTTTTTTCTGAATTTTCCAGATGAATTACCATGGAATATTGAAAACGGATGAATTGATAACAAAATTTTTCCGAATTTCCACGCAATTTTCCGTCGACATGTGTTACCGAACGCTGAGTGAAATGCCCAATTCTCCGAGTTTGGTTCGAGCCAAGTGCTTTCGCACGTTTGATGCTTTTGGCAAATTGATTGCTTTACTAGTCAAACACAGCGGAGATTCTGGAAACAACAGCACAAAAATGAATTTATTAAACAAAGTATTGGGAATCGTGACCGGGTGTTTGCTGTTGGATCACGAAGTTCGCGGTACCGAATTCCATCATTTACCCTACCAAAGAATTTACATAATATTGTTCCTCGAATTGAATCAACCCGAGCCTTTGTTAGAGGCTATCAATTTTCAGGTTTGTCACGTTTATTTATTTTTTTAAAATTGTTAGTTGTAAAATTTTCGTAAATTTTTAAGGTTTTCGAATAAAAATTTTCAGGTTTTTAAGAGTCAAAATTACTTTTTAATTAATCATCATCATCATCATAAACTAAACTTTTCAATATTATTATTATTTTTTTATTTTTTTCTCCCCCCAATAGTTTGCGTTTGTTCGCGGATGAAAGTAATATAATAAATAAATATCAAGAAAGTGAAAGTAAAATGATGAAAATAAATTTTTTTTTTGTTTTGTTTGTTGCTAAAAAATTTGTTTGGCTGTAAGTTTACCGTACGAGGTCTACAAAAAAAAAAAAAAAAAATCAAAAAATCAAAAAATCAAAAAAAGCAAAAAGTAATTGAATGGATTTTTAAATGTTTTTTTTTTTTTTTTTTTTTTGTTTTTTTCACACGACAGGTTTTGACATCTTATTGTCACGTGATGCACTTAATAAGACCTACAAAAGCTCCAGGTTTTGCGTACGCATGGTTGGAATTGATTTCTCACAGAGTTTTTATCGGACGAATATTAGCTCTTACCCCTCAGCAAAAGGTAATTTTAAAATTATTTATTTATTTATTTATTTTCTAACGGTGTAAATAATTTACCCTTTATTAATATTTTTAAGGGTTGGAACATGTATTCGCAACTTTTGATTGATTTGTTCAAATTCTTGGCTCCGTTTTTGAGAAATGCGGAAATGGCAAAACCCGTCACCATGTTGTACAAAGGAACTTTACGAGTCCTTTTGGTACTTTTACACGATTTCCCAGAGTTTCTTTGCGATTACCACTACGCTTTTTGCGACGTGATACCATCTAATTGCATTCAGGTGACAAAAAAAAAAAAAAATTTGAGTTGGTACGCACGTGCGTACGTGCGGCCGTGTACGTTATTTAAAAAGAAAATAAATTTTTTTTCCAGATGAGAAATTTGATTTTGTCCGCTTATCCTCGAAACATGAGATTACCCGATCCGTTCACTCCCAATTTAAGAGTGGAAGTTTTGTCCGAAATAACGATACCGCCAAAGATACTATCCAATTACGCATCCATGATCACTCCGATTTCATTTAAAAAAGATCTTGATTCGTACCTGAAACAGCGGTCGCCTGTTACCTTTTTATCTGATCTCAGAAGCAATTTGCAAATATCTAACGAACCAGGAATGAGTTACAATATTCCACTGATGAACGCTTTGGTTCTCTACGTGGGAACTCAAGCGATTCAACACATTCGGAGCAAAGGTTTGACACCAAACATGTCGACGATCGCAAGTTCGGCTCACATGGATATTTTCCAGAATTTAGGAGTTGATTTGGATACTGAAGGTGTGAATTTGTTTTTGAACACGTCGAGTCTTGGTTGATGTTAAATAATTAAAAAAAATTAAATTCCTCTAATTTGTTTTTCCAGGGAGATATTTGTTTTTAAATGCGATTGCTAATCAGCTTCGATATCCGAATATTCATACGCATTATTTCAGTTGTACACTATTGTATCTTTTTGCGGAGTCAAACACGGAGTCGATTCAAGAGCAAATAACGAGGGTTTTATTAGAAAGACTCATTGTGAATCGTCCTCATCCCTGGGGACTCTTGATCACTTTTATCGAACTCATTAAAAACCCGAGTTATAAATTTTGGAACCACGAATTTGTACACTGCGCTCCAGAAATTGAAAAGTAATTAATATTCTTCCTCTTTTTCTTCTTCATCCTCTTCTTTTTCTTCCTCTTTTTCTTCTTCATCCTCTTCTTCTTCTTCTTCTTCTTCTTCTTCTTCTTTTTCTTCTTCCTCTTCTTCCTCTTCTTCCTCTTCTTCTTCTTCCTCTTTTTCTTCTTCATCTTCTTCTTCTTCTTCCTCTTTTTCTTCCTCTTTTTCCTCTTCCTCTTCCTCTTCTTCTTCTTCTTCCTGTTCTTCTTTAGGATTTTCGAATGGAGGATTTTACTAATTATTTCATGTCTTACGTTTACAGGTTATTCGAATCTGTCGCCAGGTCTTGTATGGTTCCAAAACAAGTGAATCAACAACAAGAAAACGACATTGGCGAACCTCTGGCCGTATGAAATTTGAACTTGGAATTTTACTTTTACTTTTACTTTTTCAAATTTTTTTTTTTTTCAATTTTTTTTTTTTTTTTTTTAAATAACCGTGAAAGGGAAAAATCAGTTTATTTTTAATTATTATTATTATTATTATTATTTAGTAATTTTTAGATTTTGATTATAAGCTTGAGTTATTATTATTATTATTTTTTTTTTTTTATTATTACTATTTGCTATATAAAAAAAAAAGAAAAAGGAGAAGAATAATTTTAAAAAAAAAGGGAAAATTTTTACAATTATTTCGTTAATTTTATGTGTAAGAATTTTTTTTTTTTTTTGTCACTGTAATTATTGTAATGTAAAAAGCATTATTAAATTAATGCTCTACATTTTTTTCTTTTTTTCTTTTTTTTTTTTGGTTTATTTACGTTATTTTCTTATAAAAGTGAAATGAAACTTGTTTGTAAGTCATTTGAAAACATGGAGAAAGAATTATTATTATTATTATTAATAAGAAAAATAAACGTTCGCGCGCGCAAAAGAAAAAAAAAAAAAGAGAAAAAAAATCATTTACAATAATTATAATTTAAAAATTATCAGTTGTTTGACTAAAATTTATTTTTTTTTTTTTTATTTTAATTCATAATTTTTTTTCGCCAAAAGTGTAGAATTTAAGAAATATTTTGAAATTTTAAAAAATATATATAAGAAAACAAGAAAAGAAAAGAAAAAGAAAAAAGGGAAAACTTTTTTTTTTTACTATTATTATTATTATTATTATTATTATTATATTTTATTCTTTTTTTTTTTTCTTTCAAAGATTGTGTAAAGTTTAATCGTTTATTTTGTGTAGTTGTTTGTCAAATATTATTATTATTATTAATATTTTTTTTCTATTTTTGATGAACCTATCATCTTATAGGTGGCGAGAAAATGCTTTTCAATTTTTTTTTTTTTTTTACCCCAAAAAAAAACATGAGATGAGAAATTTATTTCGGGTATTATTATTATTATTATTATTATTATTTAATTAAAAATCATTTCGTTTTTAGTGAGAAAATTATAATTTTTTTTTCTTTTCTGTTTGATTAATAATGCAAAAGCGCCATATATATATATATGATTTTTCATTAAATATAATAATAATAATAATATAAAAATTGTGTAATATTTTTAAAATGAAGTGGTTTATTATTAATAAATGTATTAAATAATTAAAAAACTGGCTATTTTTAAATTTTTTTTGTAATTCTTGTACTAAATTAATTATTTATTGGTACTTTTTTTTTTTTAAATAGAGTTTAGTAATTTAGTACAAGAATATAATATATCCTTTTTACTCATATATTTCCTCTCACCTGTTTCCTCGGTTGTTTATCAACATCCAAAGTGATTTTTATTAATTATTTACTTTTATTTATAAATATATATGCAACCACACAAGTTTTTTTTTGTCACAATTTATAATTTCAAATTTCAGTTACGCCACCATTTTATTACTACTACTATTGGTAAATTAATGCAGGTAAAAACATATTATTTTGGTTTTTTTTGTAAAATCCCATAATAAAATTTATCAAATGTTATAAAAATAATAAAATAAATATTTATTTTAACTATTGTTTTATTTTATAAAAAGTTTTAACGAAATTAAATTTATCATAAAGTTTGTCAATTGACTCGGTACAACAAAAAAAAAAAAAAAAACCAAAAAAGTGGAGGCGAGTGACGTCAAGAAAGTTGCCTAGCGTCATCATTTCTATATTATTCGATTGTAGTTATCAAATAACGTTTAAAATTTATAAATAACTATGAATTTGTTTTTTTGTTGATTAAATTAATAGTTTATTTTATAGTGAAAAGGAAAACGATTTTTTTGTTTTTGATTTTCTCTAAGGTAATCTTTTATTTAAATGTCATCATGCGGAACATTATTGATTACGTCATTCTCTTCATGGGGATATGTTATACGGAAAATATTTACTTCAGTGACGTATGCAGGGCATTTGTAAACGATAATTTTTTTTTTTTGATATTATTTCCGAATAGAATAACAAAAAAAACTTGATTTTTAATTTTTAATTATATTGTGTGGTTTTATTTATATATTAAATATTTAATTATGGAAGTTATAGCACCGGGTTTACTATCGTATATTTTTAATGTTATTTATTTTCATACTTTTTACGCCTCTCGGTTGTGTTTTTAAGCTTATGCTTTTAAGATAAGGAAAAAATTTTTTTTTTTGTTGAAACCTGGTTAGAAAAGAGTAGGAAGCGATAATTTTCAGTCGACAATACCTAATAAAATATTGTGTTTGAGGTAGAAAACATATTAATTATTATTATTAAATATATTTTTAAGGTGAAATTAATGTTTTAGTAAAAAGCCCCTGAGTGAAATTTTCATTTTGAATTATTACTTTTGAAAAAAAAACTCGTTATTACGAATTAATAATTATTTTTTGTTAGTTATTATTCAATTATTATCAAAATTTATAGAAATAAATTTTTATATAAATACCTTATATTCAGTTTAGCATGCAAACAATGCAGCAGTTTTGCCTGAGGTGGAATAATCATCAGCCCAATTTCATATCTGTATTCACAACATTGTTAACCGATGAGACACTTGTTGATGTCACTCTTGCATGTGAAGGAAAACACCTTCAAGCACATCGAGTGGTGCTGTCAGCTTGTAGTGCCTATTTTCAGGTATTAAATGCCCTAAAAAACCATTTTTAAAAATTTTTATTAAAAAAATTATACAAAATTTAAAAAAATTTTTTTTTTTTTTTTTGCAGTCTTTGTTTACTTCTAATCCTTGTCAACATCCGATTGTTATTTTAAAAGATATAAAATTCAGTGATTTAAAAACAATGGTAGATTTTATGTATTATGGTGAAGTCAATGTTTCCCAAGAACAATTGCCAGCTATATTAAAAATTGCTGAAATGCTTAAAATAAAAGGACTTGCCGATATGCCAAGTATGTCTGAGCCTTTGGTTGGACATCTAGGTGTTAAAGACATAAGAAGAAGCGTTTCACCAATGTCGCCATCTTCGAAAAGAAAAAGACTTAGAAAATCATCTACTGGATCTGGATCTGGCTCAACAGGTTTAACCTTAGTTTTTCAAATATATTAAATTACTTGTTAAGTTTTTTTTTTTTAAATTTAACTGAAAATTTTTTTAGAACAAACATCTGAAGAACTTTTAAATGAAGGAACATCTGTACATTCACCCTTGGTAAAAACAGAGCACACAAATGACGGACAGCGTACTCACAGCCGATTATCGTTAAGAAACAGTAATCAACAACACAGTACAGATTCAGAACCTAGAGAAGGGTCTCAGGATAGTGGAGCTGAAGAATATAAGAGACAAGCTTCAAACGAAAGTCGCCAATTATCATTTGAAAATCGTCAAATATCTATTGAAAGTAGACAATTATCTCATGACAGTCGTCAAGGTTCATTGGAAAATAAACAATTGTCGGTAGAAAGTACAAAACAGACACTGAAAGTAGAAAAAGAAGTTTCACGTGAAAGTAGACTTTCCCAAGAAAGCAGTTGTGAATCAGTAAAAACAGATACAGAAACAAATATTACCGTGTCAACCTTTGCCCAGGTTAAAGTTGGCACTAAAAGAGGGAGGCTTTTAATGAGACAACAGCGAATCAAAAAGGAAAGCGATGCTCATACTTCTCCAGATAGCGATCCCGGCTCTCCAAGTTTTCCAACAATGACATTAAGCATTCCGGGTCAACCTTTAAGGCAAAGATCGGAGCCTACTCCCTCATCTCAGTCACATTCTCCACCTTTTCAATCATCCAGTTCAAATTTATTGGCTGTTCCGCAACCAAATTTTCCTGTAAGGCAACATTCATATCCTTCACAATCGCCCCCCATACCAGCTGGAGCTGTTTACGTTCACCGTCATTCTCAAACACCGACCATTGTCAAATGTGTATCGACAACAACCGAAGAATCCTCGCGAACAACCAGCAGTCCGTCCATTGTTATGGAAACCGTTCCCATAGTCCGTATTTTTTCTGAATCAAATTTAACCAAAACAAATTCTTTAATTCTTCAACAACGAGCAGAAGATTTAAAAGCCATTACGGAAACGGCCGAAGTTAGTAGATCTGGGCATTGTCCGGTGTTGAGAGCAGGTCCGGCATTGGGTTGTAACTTTTGCTGGAACACAATCGATTCTCACGGAAGGATTTTGAGGCGTAAAACTAAATATTATTGTCCGGAGTGTCAGATTAATCTCTGCATCGTTCCATGTTTTCAACAGTACCATTCGACACACGTTGAAAGTTCTGTAAAATCCGAACAATCATCTCCATCTTGAGACTCTAAAAAAAAATTTTAAATTTTCATTTGTTATTATTATTGACTAAAGCACTGTATATTTTTCTACTTTGCGATCAATTTACAAAAAAAAATATGTATATATAAAAGGCAAATAATAAATGCCGCCTAAACTATAATATATATTTCTACTTGTCGATTATATAAAAAAAAAAACTTTGTTAAAATATATAAATATTCCGACAAATCTGTGATATATACACAAACAGATTTATTAGGGAATTATTTTTTGAGAAGGGATTATATATATATATATTTAAATTTTAATTTTCGTGTTGATCTTTTTTTATTATTATTATTATTATTATTATTTGTCATCTTTAAATAAAAATGTTTCGTATGTACGAATCAACATACGTTTTTTATTGAGACTTGGAAAAAATTTATTACTTTGTTCTTCTTACCTTCGTATTAAATCACTAAATATATCAAAATACATAAAAAAAAATAAAAATAAAAATAAAAACTTCATCTAATATCAGTTAAACTTAAGAAAATGTTATCAGTACTAAACTAAAATTTGTTGTACTTTTTCGAGAAGAAAAAAAACTAAAAAAAATGGGGGGGGGGGAACTAATATTTTACTTTATTTAGTGTAATATGTGATATCTCTTGTTACATAAACATGCTTATTTTTGTTGTTAATATTGTTATTTTTAAATAATTTAAAATATTGGTTTTTTTTAAAAAAATAAACAAATTTAATTTTCATCAAAAAGAAAAAAAAAATTCTGGGTAATTTGTAAAAAAAATACAAAACAACTTGAAAAATGTCGAATAAAAAAAACTTTTTAAATATTCGCTTAAAATTTTATATAAATTTTATGCATTAAATGTAAGCAGCATGTAAAAAAAAAAAAAACTTTAAAAAAACTTCTTTTGCTTAATTTTTTTTTAAAAAATTAAATATTGTAATTAAAAATATATTATTGTTAATAATGCATGCTCTATTAAAACCCAGAATTTTATTTTCAATGAGAATGAGATAATGTAAAGAAAAAAATTTTGCAAAATGTATCAGGGATCAATTAGATTTTGCTTTTTTCTTCCCTTTTTTTAATTTTTTTTTTTTGATTAATTATCAACTGCTACCAATTTATGTTAAATATAATTAAGTTAAATGGTTAATAAATAAGAGTAAAAATTGTTGTTGGTTTTTTGACATATTAAGAGTGTTTATTTTTCTTCAATTTTTGCCTCTAAACTTTGTATTAAGAAAGATTGACTATTTATTTTACAAATATAAATATATATATATATATATTTTTTAAACTGTTTAAATTTTTTAAATTTCTTTTCATTTAAATAAATCATTAAAAATATTATTATTATTTAATTATTTATCTAATACTAAGAAATTCTCATCGTGTTAAACCTAAATAAAATTTCGAAAGCAGGCGTCTTACTCGAAAATAAAATTATACAACATAAAAGATTAAATCTTTTATTTTTAAATATAATTAATTAAGTAAAACTTTAAATAAAATTATTATCAATTTTCAGTTGGTGGATTCTCTTTTGGAGCATTGATTTTTTTGTTAAATTTAGGAAATTGTTCCCAAGGATTAGAAAGTTCAAATTTTCTAAATTCTTGAGTTAACTCGAGACTCTCACAAACAACTCTTTGAACTTCATCATCATAACGAACTTCTACATAACCACTTAATGGGAAATCCCTTCTCTGTGGATGACCCTCAAAACCATAATCTGTTAGGATTCTTCTCAAGTCTGGATGATTTTTAAAATATACTCCATACATATCCCATACCTCTCGTTCGTACCAATCTGCTGCCCTGTACACTTCGTAAACAGAGTCGATGGGAGTTAATTCATCTGTATATGTTTTAACCCTTACTCTAGAGTTATAACGCAATGACAATAAATTATAGATAATTTCAAATCTGTATTCCCTCCCAGGTACATCCATTCCAGCAATATCGACCAAACTTTCAAATTGACAGTTATGGTGATCTTTAAGAAATTGCATCACAGGTAAAACTCCCTCTGGAGCTATCAAAATCTCTAATTCTCCTTGAGATGTCATTTGAATCATTTGAACATATTTGGGTAAACATTCACTTACATATTTTCCAAAATCTGTCAGATGTGAAATTGCAACCGATTTATCATTTAATATGGCAGCTAAAAAAAAAATAAAAATAAAAATAAAAAATAAACAAAAATTAGGATACGACGTTAACGTACAAAAATACATCAATAATTTTTTAAATAATTTTAAGTGTAAACTTACGTGTTGTTTTACCATTTTCGGTAACCTTCTGACAATATTTTCGTACATCGGAAAATATTTTTTTATTTTGCGTAAAAGGTTTAATATTTCTTAAAACACCTCGAATCATAGACGCCATGTTTTTAATCGTCTGCTTTAAATAAACCGGATTTAATCAGAATTGCCAACTGTAGCAATTTCGAGGGGAAAAATATATGATTAAAATTAATAAATAACACTTATAATTTACATTTTACTTTTAACAATTTGGTAAAAAATTTCTTTTCTCTATATTTTTCTTTTAAAAAAAAAAATATCGCGAAGTAGAACATTTTATTTTTAAAAGTTTGTTCTTTTAGGCGCCAAAAAATTTAAACTAATTCATTCATTTTTTTTTTTTATTGATTGAATAAGAAAGTAAATTACTTTTTAAAAAAATGCATTCATTTATCCTTAAAACAAATTATTTAACAACAACTTTTAAATCGCATAAATTTAATAAACTAAAAAAATTAAAATTAATTGTCATGTTTTATACTTCATTGTTATTAACGTTTTTTCAATTCGTTTTAAAAGAATTTCATTTACTTCCGACTGGAGAACTTCGTCAAAATCATCAAGTTTAATAAACATTTTAATTAATCTTTTACCAAAATTCCGAACTTCTTGATTACCATCTTGCATGAAAGTAGCTCCAGCATTTAATATTCTTCCTCGAATTTCTTTACCACCGTTGAAAATTGTTTCAACCCCTACTATTCCAACAACGCAAACTAAAAGCCTAGCCGAAGCACCCCTAACTAATGGACTTTTATGAGTTATTCCCTTGTTTATAATGGCTCGTATTGAATGGCTATGAGGAATATTTAAAATCATCGTGTCTAAAGCCTCATTGGCATCTTGTCGAACGGCTTTATTAGTGTCTGCCGTTTTCTGTAGTAAAATGTTGACCACTTCATCGAATTCTGGTCTTTGCGAATTAGCCATTGTTGCAAAAAGCTCATTAGAAGCTTGACAAGCAGTTCTAGCAACGATCGACCTAAAGCTTTTCAATAAAGAAATAAGTCTTCTGTAAACTAAAACCATTGATGGTTCGATGACTTCCGGTTGAAATCGTGATATTTGTACAATTTCTTTTAAAGCATTAACTGATTCATTCCAATTATTGCTTTTTAATTTCGACATGCACAATTTAAATGTTTCTACCGGATTTTTGGGCGTCTTCGGCGAGGGAAGTAAATTCGGATCACAAATACTGTCTGTTGATGAGGCCAATGAAAGCCTTTGAGGAGTTCCTGTTCTTATAACCGAATCCGTTTTTTTAGCTGTGGCATCATCAAAATTATATTGACCGTCACTAAATTCTTTTAATGGTAATAATTCCGAATGAAATTCGTTTTCACCCGAACCTGAACATTCAACATGTCTATTTTCCGGTAAATTTTTTATATTGTTTATCGAAGGTAAATTATATTTACTTCTAGGTTTAGGCCATTGTTTACTTTTTTTCTTCGACGCTAATTGTGGAAGTTTGATTGCCGAGTCTTTATCATTATCACAAAAAAAACTTTCACACGTTTTTAATGTTGAAACCTGTGTAGGTTCAAAAAATCCTCTTCCTTTACACATTGGACATCTTAAGAGACTCCCTTGTTTTAATTTATCTGTTGATATTTCTTTGTTTTGATCAATTTTCATCCACATTAAATTGACAACATTAAAAGTTTATTTTATTATTTAACATTTTTTTATATAATTTTATTATTATTATTATTATTTTTGTATTTTAAAATTAAATAACAAAAAAAAAAAAAACATTAAGTCAGTTTAATGATTTTTTATGATTTATTAAAAAAAAAAAACATAAAAAAACAAAAAATGTGTATTTATTCTCAGTTAAATTTTTTTTTAAAATTATCCAATTCCAGAATAAATACTGTCATTGTACAATTTTTTTTTTTGTCTCTCATGTACCTGATTCGAATCACCATTTTAAAATTCCAGGTATATATTTATCAATTAAACTTTGATAATATGGTTTTAAAGCTTCTATGTCCGGTACAGTTTCGGATTTTGTATATAAATCGTATTTGCTTTAAAAAAAAATTTTTTTAACTTCAATAAACTTATTTGGGAATAATAATAATAATAATAATAATAATAATAAAATTTTTTTACAAAGTTTGACTTACTTGAATTCAATCACCCATTTTAATTTTTTTTCATCATCTTCATTACACAAATGTCGATAATCTCCACCGGAATGCCAAGGATAAAAAGAATGATACCTAAAAAAAAAATTTTTTTTATAAAAAATTAATTCAAATTCAAAAGAATTGAAATTTAAAATAAACAAACAAACAAATTATACCTAATCATCGTCAAAGCTTCCTTTGGTAAAAAACAGGAATTATGCTTCAACACTCTGTACAGGTATTCATCATGACCCCAAGACATAATCAAATTGTCCAAACCGCAATTAGGAGCATACATACCATATTTAGTGCTAAATTTATTTATTTAATTAAATTTGTTTTTAAAAAATGGATAAATAAAATTATGTAAAATAAATCTTACTTATATTTGTCATTTTTTCCATCTGGATTTTCATCGAAACTATTTTCCCGATACACGATACTTTGAGCCCATTGACAACCGGTAGGAAAAGTATCGCCGACGACGCACCATTGCGGCTCCCCATAAAAAGCCATAACCTTACGAAAAAAAAAAAAAAAAAAAATTATTTATTTATTTAAAATATAATAATAAATAAATAATTACCTTTCCCAAATCGTGTATGAGACCCGTCAAATGAAACCAATCATCATTCGGATGTTCTTTTCTTATTCTTTCGGCCGTTTGAAAAGCATGAACAATATTTGGTACATTCACATCCGGATCACTTTCATCAATTAAATTATTTAATAAATTCAATGCTTCCATTATGGTCGCTTCAAATTTATCAAATTTATTCCATTTTTTTATTTTTTCTAAAATTAATCATTATTATTATCGAAAACGTTAGGAAAACCCAGGAAAACGCAGGAAAATTTGAAATTAACCTTGTACAAAATCAACCGTCATATTTTTATGCATTTCATAATAAGTTTTTCGTACTCTTTCTTTAATCGCATCTTTCGGATCGATAGAATAATCTCGAAATTTTATTATTTTATTATCAATTAAATCATTCCTTTCGTCTTTAATAATATTATTATCATCATTATTATTATTATTATTTCGACCGGTAAATTTTACTTGTTCGCTCTAGAAAAAAAAAAAAAATATCGATTAACAATTTTTTTTTTTTTTTAGAATTTTCTTGAACCGAAAATGAATTACATAAACATTTATTTATTTATTTATTAAAAATTTAAAAAAAATTAATTAACTGTCATTTAAATTTTTAACTGTCAAAAAATATAAAATGTTATTGACAAGTAAATTGATTAGCGTTAATTTAATTTAATTTAAACAAACAAACAAAAAAATTTTTAATAAATTAAAACACTCCAGAAATTTTTTTTTTAAATTAGCTATAATTGAAAACATATAAATTTTTCCAAATTAAATAAATAAATAAATAAATAAAGTATTAAGTAATAATAAAAACAATAAAGTGATTAAGTAATAATAAAAAAAAAAAAAAAAAAAAAGAAAACAAAAACAATAACTTACATAACTTTTATTCATAATGTAAAAAATGTTGATATAATTAAGGAAATTACTTAATTGCATATAAGTAAGTAAAAAAAAAAAAATTTAATTTATATATATTGTGTGCTAAAAAAAATTGGACTTTGGTTATCGTTGACCCAATTTGATCCTTTTATTTATTATTATTAATTTATATAAATATAATAATAATAATAATAATTGTTTAAACTAAAGCTTAGATAATTAATAAAACAAAAAAAACTCACACATTTTGCTTCGGTATGTATATTTTCCTTTTTTTGTAACCAATGAAAATCATTTATTATTATTATTATTATTTGTTGTTAATAAAAAATTTCAATAAATAAATATTTTAATAATATTTAATTATAAATCAATAAAGAAAAAATATTTAATTGTCATTTAATTAATTAATTTATTTATTTCGGAATTAATAAATTAAAATGGCATCATAAAACAATTTTTTTTTTTTAGTTTTAACGGTTTTTTGTTATTTCAATTTTTTTACACAAAATAATAGTTTTACAAGGTCGTGTAAAATTATTTCCAGTAAATTATTATTATTATTATTATTTTATGTCAATTAAATTAATTATTTATGATTTATTTAAAAAAATTAAATAAAATTTTGAGTAAATTTTGTCTTTTTTTTTTTTTTTTTGGTTAATAATTTAATGTTATGACAAATTAATGAAACAATGAAACAATTTTTATTTAAAATTTAATGATAATAATAATTATTTCCACTACTTGTTCCAAATTTTCCAGTTTTTCATTAAATAATTTAATGAATAAAAATTAATTTCATTTGATCTGAACAAAAAAAAAAAAAAAAAAAAAAGTTATGTAATGTTTAATGTAACAGGTAATTATTATCTAAAATAAATTTAAATGGCGAAAGTTATTTAATATTTGTCTTGTGGGTGTGAAAATATTGTTAATACATTAAAATAAATAAATAAAATTGATCAATTATATTATTTACCATAAAGTAAAACAAGACAAAAATAATAAATAATGATGATGATGATGATATGGTTTGATTTAAATTAATGATAATTTATAAGAATTACTAAATTTTTTCCCAAAAAATTTGTTTATGAATTAAATAATGAAGACATGATGGTTTTGAAGGACAAACTTTGGACCAATATTTGACAAAGCAGGATGAGGATGCGGTGTGTTTGCACGAAGATGACGAAAATTTCCACAAATATCATGTTCTCTCATCTATAAAAGACATTTTTATTTATCCAACAATTCATTTTCGGTTTTACCTCCATTCAAAATGAAGGCTCTTAGATATCTCTTATGTTGGGTAAGAAATTTTATTTATAATTTAACTTGAAGTTTGTTTTTTTCTTTTTTTTCACCCCTATTCGTTACAGGTTTTCATGAGTTTTATATTCTTGGGGGTAGCTTTTGGTGAAACTCCAAATGAATCAAAGGAATTGGTAGAAGAAGACACAAAAGATCTTGAGGTTGCTGAATCAGCTTCACCTTGTAAGTGTATGTACTATATTTGATAATTAAAACAAAAGTTTTTTTTACGATATGATAAATTAAAAAACTATTTATTAAATTAAATACTCACTCAAAACGTTCAAATAAATAAAAATGTCTTCCCCATTTTAAACTTTTTAGTTTTGTACAATTGGTTTGGAAACAATAAAGGATATCAGCCCAACCGTAATCCAAATCAAATTCGACCAAACGGTTTTTATCCAGGACATGGAGGATATTATCCAGCACCGAGCCATTGGAACAATAATAACAATTTTGGCAGTATTCACGGAGGTTACGGACTTTATCCAAACGTAAATGGTTAGTAAAATCAAAACTTTAAATTAATTTTAATTTAAAAAATATGAATAAGTTATTTGAATTTGAGGTTTTGACGGTTACAATGTAAATAACGAATATGGAGGTTATGGAGGTTATAACGGATATAATGGGTACAACGGGTATAATGGGTACAACGGTTACAATGGCTACAACGGTTATAATGGATATAATGGATACGGGAGCAACGGTTTTATTGGAGGTGGATACGAATATATGGGCAATAATGGAATCGGTTATGGCGGAAATGGATTTGGGGGAAGAGGAGGATATGGCGCTTTTGGATGGGAAGGTAAATCATTAGGAGTGAGTAATGAAGGTTATGAAAATAAAGAATACGATTCTAGAAATTATTATAACTCCGAATGGAATAATCAAAATAGCAATACACGATCTCCGAATAAAAAATAAATATTTAAATTGTTATTTCAATATATATTTAAAAATGTATTAAATTTTTTTTGTTTTTTCACATTTAATAATTAATAATTGTATAAAAAAAAAAACCCGACAATAACCTAATAAATTTAAACAAATATTTGTAAAATTAAAAAATTTGGTTTTTCTATATTTACTAAACCTTCAAATGATATAATGAAAGGTAAAGTGCTATCGGGAATACCTGATTATTTACTGTGGCATAAAATTTGGATCTAAATAATTATAATTACCGTTAAAATAATTTTGATAAGAGTAATCTTTATCCCAGACTCCACTATTTTGATGAACGTTATGAATGGCAGTGAAATAATGATTAAGGGAATGTGGTTTGTCACTTTCTAATTGTGATATTAAACATTCTGAACAAAAATCTATGGATTCTTCTGAATCACAATCGGAACAGTGCCATCTTGTTCCAATTAAAGGTTCTTCTTCGCAACCGTTACACTAAAAAAAAGTATGTAAAGGATTTTAAAAATTTATGATATTATGTTTAATACACCATTAAAATAAATATGGCTGTTTTTTTTTAAATACCTTATATCCTACATGCTTAAACTGTTTTGGGTTTGTGTTTTTTTCTTTATCTCTTTTTATTCTTTTAAGTAAAGTTAATTTTTTAAATTCATCAGAGTTTCTAATGTTTTCAGGATATGAGGCAATACATTCCAAATCTTCTTCCTTTTCCTTTTTTATTTTGTTCACACTTGTTACGGAAGTTCCTGGTAAATCGTCACCATCAGGCATGGACACAGGAGGGTTTAATTGAGGGAAAAAAGTCGATCTAGGATAAAGAAAAGAATTGTTTCTAGAATGTTGATGCCCTGCATACTAAAAAAAAATTTTTTATTTATCCCTTAAAATGATTAAAAATTACTTATTTTTTTTAAAAAATAAAAAAAAGAAAAAACATACCTTGGGACTCTTTAGGTAATCATATTTTAATTTTGGTATTCTACCAGGTACAGGCAAACCAGCTTTTTGTAATTTAAGAAAATACTTTTGACACCTACTGGTTACTTGAGTAACAGTCCTATTACCTAATGCTTCAGCTATTTTCATATATCTTCTAGTTTCATTTTTTTCAGGAGGAAATTTTACCAATAATTCTTCCAACCTTAATTGTTCTTCTAAAGTCCATAATTGATTAAACGTTATCGGTTTTGATTCATCATAAACTCTTCCTCTAACCTTAATTACATCTGGTTTTTCTTTCACTTCTGACACAGGCCTTTCTTTTTGTCTAGTTTGAGGTCTAAACGCTTCCGGTGGAAGTGATACTTTGTATTTACTCCAATCAATTTCTGGGATTTCAGGTATTACTTGTGGACCAGGAATACTCAAATCATCACCATTTTGAAGTTTGTTTACAAATTGAATAGGATTTGCTAAAGCTTCGTCTTGAATTTCTAATAATTTATCAATGTCCTATAAAATTTGAAAAAAAAAAAAAAAAACTTTGACATTTTTACTTTCAAAATTACAAAAACAAATTACAAAAAAAAACAAAATTTTTGTTAAACTTTATACCTTCAGAGCTTGAAACCTTTGGCTTTCGAGAACACATAAGGTTCTTAGTAATTTTAGGTAGTCTTTATTTCCTTTTAATGCCAAATTTTCAGTTTCAAAATAAAAATCATCATCATCATTAACAGGTACTTTACTGTCTATTAAACTACAAGTTTTATTATCCGATTCCATATCGTAAGTATTTCTCCATGTATAACGTGTCAGGAAAATGTTTTTGTTATTGTCTATGATATTTATTTTATGTTTACAAATAATTTAAAGTTTTTTTTTTTTTTTTTTTATTTTTTAAATGTGAAAATAAAAAAATTTTTTATTTAGAAAAATTATTAAGTTATTTATTAAAAGTTAATGACAGTTTTTTTCTTGCTGTTAATTCAAATAAATTTGAAAGATAATACAAATTAATCATTTTTATTTATTTTTTAAATTGTGAAAACTTAAGTGCCTAATATTTGAACTTTAATTCAGTTATTTAAATGATTTTTTTTTTAATAAATTAATTTTTAAAATAATTTATAAATATCAGTGATTAAATTAAAGATTTTTTTTTTTTAAATGATGAGTTTTATAATGTTTAAATCGTCATTTTCCAGTATTTCATGTAACGTAAAAAGAAAAAAAAATTTACTGAAAAGTTTTATGATTAATAATAGTAAAATAAATCATTATTCAGAAGATGTGAAAAATAATTTGCCTAAAGTAAATGTAAAAAAATTATTAAATGAATCTTCTCCACTCAAACCCTTTTCTGAAACTGAAAAATTATGGGCTACAAGTGCTTATTCAAATGGTACAGTGTTTCAAAATGAATCAATTAAAAAATCGAAACCGACAGAATCCTCTGTAATAATGTTTCCAGGGCAAGGCTCACAATTTGTGGGTATGGCCAGAAAATTTCAAGACATGCCTCTTGCTGTTCAAATGTTTAATGCTGCTAGTGAAATATTAGGTTATAATCTATTAAAACTTTGTAATATGGGACCTGAAGAAAAATTAAATCAAACAAAATATTGTCAACCTGCAATTTTAGTTTCTTCTTTAGCAGCTCTTGAAATGCTTAAGGATCAAAAACCTTGGGCAATTGAAAACTGTACAGGAACTTGTGGTTTTAGTTTAGGAGAACTTGCATCCCTTGTTTTCGCAGGTTCCATTACTTTTGAAAAAGGTACGATTCTCTTGATTTATTTCTTTCTTTGTAATTTTAATAAATAAAAATTTTCTGTTTCTCACAGCTATAATTCTTGTAAAATTAAGAGCTGAAGCTATGGAAGAATGTTGTCAAATGACACCTGGAGGCATGGTCACTGTTTTATATGGTCCAGGTTCTGATTTATCCAAAGCAATGTCAGATGCTAAAGATCATTGTAGAGCCAAAGGGATTTCAGATCCTGTATGTTCGACAGCAATATTTCTTTTTCCCGGTTGTAAAGTCATTGCAGGACATGACGAAGCTTTAAAATATCTCTTTGAAAATGGAAGAAAATATAAACTAAGAAAACTATCAAGATTACCAGTTGCAGGAGCTTTCCATACAGATTTAATGACAGAAGCTTCGAATGTAGTTAAAAAATCGATTAAAAATTTAAATCCTAATTATCCGTTAGTTAAAATTTATTCAAACGTAACTGGAAAACCATTATTAAATCCGATGGATATTAAAAATAAAATATCATTACAAATAAATCATCCTATCAAATGGGAACAAGCAATGCATAACATATTTGAATTACCTGATGGCAAATCAAATTTTCCCTACTCATATGAATGTGGACCTGGAAACTCATTATTTACAGTTTTAAAAAAAATAAATGCCAAAGCTTCAGAATTTTGTTCTTCCGTTCAATTATAAAAACATTTCACATTCATTTGTTAATGTGTTATCGATAAAGTCATAACTACAATTTCATTTAATTTACAAAAAAAAAAAAAAAAATTACAAATAAAATGTATCATAATATGAATAATATACATATATATTTATATATAATTTAAAATAATTATTTTTTTTTCATGGTAACAATTAAAACATCCTGATGATGAGATGATATGTATGAGTGAAATCGATGCTAAAAAACATCATTTGGTCAAGTGTTAGCATAATTAATTTTTTTTTTTTACATTTTTTTCAATAACAATAATAATAATAATACATAATTATTATATTTTATAAACAATACTTAATAAAACCTAAAATAATAATAATAAACAACAATTTTTTTTTTTTTTTTGGTTTTTCTTTCTTAAATTAATTTTAATTAATTTTTTAACAACGACAATAATAATAATAATAATAATAAATAAATTTTATCGAAAAATATAAATTTTTTTCTCGGCGAAATTAAAAAAAAAAAAATTATAATTTCGAACAGTAATAATAATAACATCTATATAATAATTATGTAAAATATATTTTTATTTATGAAATAATAATTAATAATTAATAATAAAAATTTATTTTTAAACTTACAATTAAAAATTTAACATGATGTGATGATGACCTGCACCAAAGAAATAAATACTAATTTTTAAACAAAAACTTTTATTTAAATTATTTAACAATCACAGTTTTTGTAATACCTCCATTGATAACTAAATTATTATTATTATTATTTTATTATCGAGAATGTTCGTTCGATCAGTTTAAAAAAAAAGAATAAAATTTAAAATTTATTTGATAATGTCGCCGAATATCCATTATATGCCCTTTAAACGTATAAAATGTCTACTTAAATAAATTTTTTTTTTTTTTTTTAAAAATATCCTCGATTAATAAATGTTTGATTGTCATAAACTACAAACGATTTAAAACAGAAAAAAAAAAAAAAACAACCCTGTTTGTTTGTTTAATCGAAACAAATAAAATTTACAACAATATTTAAGACCCAATAATAATAATAATAATAATAATAATAGATTCGTTAAAATGACGTCATCCACGTAAAAATCAAAATGGAGGTATTCATAATACGATTGAATAAGTGCCTGTCAAACAAATTGGCAACTGATAAAAATAATTAATTAAGGAATTAAAAATTAAATTAAGTACAATAATTTTTTTTTTTTTTTTAAATGAATGAAACTAAAACTTTTGTCAATCGTTATAAATAATAATAATAATAATAATAATAGTTTTTCAATAATAAAAAAAAAAAATTATATCTTATATATAAATAAATAAAATTTTATGTCTCGTTGTTTTTTTTCTTTTTTTTGGGGGGCGAAGGGAGGGGGAAGAATGAAAATAAATAATAATAATAGTTTTTGTTTAAATTGTCATGTTCGATCGATAAAAAAATTTTGAATTTAAAATCATTTAAAATAAAAAAATCTTATGACACTAAAATACTGCAAGTTTAATAATAACTTTCAATATATATATATAAGCATAAATACAATCCGAATTTATTTATTTATTTATTTATTTTTATTTTTTTTTTGGCGTTTTAGGCAGATATGCATTAATTAAAGGCGAGTTTTAACATTTATATATATTTTGTTTTTTTTTTTTAAATAAATACTAATAATATATCACCTGCCTAATAATAATAATAATAATAATAATTTTTTAAATTAATGTGCTTTTTACTTTTTTTTTTTTTTTTTAAATTTGATCTAATTCTAATGGAATGATAAATTATTATCATCATTATGATTTAACAACGATTAAATTAAGCAAGGTACCTAGCTATAATTTGTGCTTATTTGTTTTTATTAAATGCCAAAAACTATGGAATTATGTAAAAAGACACTCAATCATTGGATAAACTATTTTATACCTAAAAACTGACATAAATAGTTTTCTTTTTTTTTTTTTTTTTAATAACGGTTAACATCAATAATTTCCTACATGTGTTAATATATATATATTTTTTTAATTATTATTATTATTATTATTATCGTTTACTTTGTCGTTTGCGGTCTATTTTTAAATAATAATTCGACTATAGATGAATCTGCCATGGTTGATATGTCTCCGACATCTCTGTCGTTGACTGCAATTTTCCTTAAAACTCTTCTCATTATTTTTCCAGAGCGCGTTTTTGGTAATCCGGGAGCAAATTGTATAACTTCGGGAGTTGCAAAAGGTCCGATTTTTTCGCGAACTGCCATAAATATATTTTCGTGAAAATTTTTTTTTAAATTTTAAACGATTTTTTAATTTATTTTAAGAAAACAAATTTACCTTTAGATTTAAGTTCGTCGACAAGTTTTTTCTTAAATTCCACTCCAGCATTGGGTGTAACAAAACAATACAAACATTCTCCTTTAACCGGATGTGGTTGAGATACCACAGCAGCTTCCGCAACATCTTCGTGTTCCACTAATACCGATTCAACTTCGGCCGTACTCATTAAATGACCCGATACATTTAACATATCGTCCACTCGTCCCGTAACCCATAAATACCCATCGGAATCTCTTCTGGCTCCTAAATTAATTTATTATACCCAAACGTATTTTGCATATAATTCATTTTTTTAACCCATGTTAATTAAAAAAAAAAAAAAGGAAACTTACCATCTCCTGTGCAATAATAACCCGGAAATTTGCTGAAATATGTCGTTTGAAATCGTTCGTGATTTCCAAATAATGTTCTCATCATTCCAGGCCATGGTTTTTTAAACACCAGATAACCCTCACCCGGACCGTTAATTTCTTTACCCGTTTCGTCTAAAAGAACTGGTTCAACACCAAAAAATGGAAAAGCCTGAGAAGAGCAAAAGGACACTTTCATAATAACGATTTTAATGTTAGCACATGAAAAAAAAAAAATTTTTTTTGAAAAAACTACACTAAACGCGAGTTATTACTGCGTGTGTGTGTGTGTGTGTCAAAAGGTCACCATTGAGCTTTTCCCATGAAATGGAATAAATAATGAAAAATTAACATTTAGTACATGAATAATTCATAGTAATATGCTTTTTCATTAAAAAAAAAAAAAAAATTTTTAAACAATTTTTAAAAATTTTTCAATAAAAAAAAAAAAAATCCAATGCATCGGGACAAAAAAAAAAAAAAATTTTTTTTACAATTGGTAGTACTTACTGCTGCTCCTGGTTTCATTGGTGTGCAACCGGGTAAAGGAGTAAGAACGTGACCTCCTGTTTCAGTCTGCCAAAATGTATCAACAATCGAACAATTTTCGTGACCGATATTTCTATAATACCATAACCAAGCTTCTGGATTTATTGGTTCACCTACGGATCCCAAAACGCGAAGCGAATCCAAACTGTGCCTGCACGATACAATATTTTATATTTTTACGATAAACCGGAAATAGTTTTTATGCGAGAAAAATGAGGAAACACTAAAAATTTCCTTACAAACTTACTTTTTAACAGGATCTTCTCCGAATTTCATTAAAGCACGAATAGCAGTTGGTGCTGTGTAAAATTGATTGACCTTATATTTGTCAACCACGGCCCAATACCTATCATTGCTTGGATAGAATGGAGTCCCTTCAAACTAAAATAAAATTATTAATAATTTATAAAAAAGAAAAATTTAATTAATGAAGCTTTTCAAATTTTCAACTTACGATTACTGATGTAGCACCGTTTGCTAAGGGACCATAAACAACATATGTGTGACCTGTTATCCATCCGCAATCGGCAGTACACCAATAAACGTCACCCTGATGATAATCGAATACATATTTAAAAGTAGTTGAAGCATATAAAAGGTAACCTCCTGTTGTGTGTAAAACACCTTTTGGTTTTCCTGTAGAACCGCTAAAATATAAAAACAAAATTGATTACATATTCATTCCGGATATTTATAATTTTATTCAAATTTTTACTAACCTTGTGTACAACATGAATAGTGGATCTTCTGCGTCCATCCATTCGGGGTAACACGATGGTTCAGCATCTTCCATTTCTTCGTGCCACCAAAAATCTCTTCCCTCGACCCAGGAATACTAAAAAGTATCATTTCATTAGATACATGCGATGATTACATTTTTGACACGTAAAAGAAAAATTTTTACCAACCGATTTACTTTTCTCATCGGCATTCGATTTTGTGGACGATCCATTCACGATTCCATTTTCTTTTGATACGCCATTTTTCTTTTGACTCATGGCTAAGCGTGGCAAGTGATTGACAACGATACAAGTTTTAATTTCGTGACCCATTTGTTTACATTTTTCCATCGTATCATCGCATATTTTTTTTAGACCGATTAGTTTTTCACCTCGCCAAACGCAATCCGCCGTTATAAGTACTTTACACTGACAATCATTCATTCTTTCAGCCAAGGAATCAGATGAAAATCCTGCAAACTGAAAATTTCATATACCCCCCCACCCCGTATAAATTTCATTTCAGGGCAAAACATTTTCAATTGTGTCACAATAATAATCGAAATAATAAATTCATGTTATTAATTTAGTTTGAGGGGGTTAACGAATGTGTCAAAAAAAGTAAATTTTGAAAGGTATAGCCTTGTAAAAGCTAAGGTCATTTTACACCGAAGGGGAACATACAGGTGATTAAAAGTTGTACCTTGAATTTTTCTTTAAAGGACACTTTGATATTGGCACAGTTTATAATTATATAAAAAAAAAAAAAAAGATTAAATTTTATTGTATTTTTTTTTGTTTTCTTTGTTAAAACCTCGATTACGGCTAAATAATAAAATGATAATAATGATATCATAATATATATGACGTAATACTTTCAATAATGATATCAGTAAATGTTTCGTTATAAATTTCTCTATTAATCTAATTATTATAATCTCATTGTAAAAACCGTTAAAATTTCTTACCACTATGGAATGAATGGCTCCTATTCGTGTGCAAGCAAGCATGGCAATAGGAAGTTCCAAAATCATTGGCATGTAAATACCAACTCTGTCACCTTTTCTCACACCTTTAGATTTAAGAACATTTGCAAATCTACAAACTTCTTCCAAAAGTTTTTTATAAGTGAGTCGACTGTAATCTTCCGGATCATTTCCTTCCCTGAAAAAAATGGTAATTGAAAAACGAAAAAAAAAAAAATTATTATTTTATTATTATATGGTAGGAAAATTTTTGTAGTAGAATAAAATTTTCCTTGTATTTTTCCACGAAATATTTTCTTTTTTTTTTTTTTTTTAGAGCGTTATTAAAAAATTCTTGAGAGTTTTCATAAAGAAAAAATGATTTTATTGCTTTTTTTTTTTTTTTTTTTTCGAGAGAGAGAGAGAGAGAAAGATTTTAATTTTAATTCAATTTAAAATTAAAAAAAAAATTTTCTTCTGCAAAATGACTATTTAAAAAATAACAATTAAATAAATTAAAATGAAAATTGTCAAAAAAAATTATTTAATTCGGAAAATTAAATAATAAAATTTTAATTAATTTATATAAACGATGACCAATATTTTTTAAAATTAAAAAGCAGAAGAAAAAAACCGTTTTTAAATAATGCGTGGAAAATTACACTCCATTATTTTTTTTTTTACAAAACAAAACAAATTTTTTTTAAAAATGGGTTTGGTGGTGACGGTTAAAATTTAAAAATAAAAAATAAATTGCGTGATTTTCCATCATAAAAATAAAAAAATAAAAAATTTTAAATTGATTTACATTTACGTAGTACGTTTTTTTTTTTTTAATAATAATAATAATCTCATTATTATCATTGATTCTAGTTTTGACGTGATAGTAAACGTTTAAAATTGTTTTTTCCCCTCCCCCCTCCCCGTTATTAATATCGAATGGTTTCAACAACAACAACAAAAAAAAAACTATTTTACTAGCATTGATGAAAAATTCATATGGGGATTTTATAAAAATGCCCGCCATTTTGTTAGTTATTATTATTCATTATTTAACTTTCTTGGGAAAATAAAAAGCACAAAACAAAAAAAAACGCATTTATTTACCTCATTGCGATGATTCGATAATGAATACTATTACTCGATATTTTAATAATAATAATAATAATAATAATAATAATAATAATAATAATAATAATAATAATAATAATTATGTATGAGCGCTCATGCACCTGAATTTTGATTTGGTTTGTGAATTAATAATAAATATATACGAATTATATAGAAAAACCGTTAAAATTTAAATGATTTATATAATTTTAAAATTAAAACTATTACTAAATGTTTTATTATTACGACGACTTCCGGAAAATGGAAAAAATCGTTTTTTCTTTCTAAATTTCCATTGACGTCAATACACACACACACACACAAACTAGTTTGGCGGTTAACAATGAAATCTCGAACGAAATCAAAACGTTCTTATTGATTCCGTAATGCCAACTTCGAAAAAAAAAAAAAAAATTTTTTTTTTTTTTTTGACAGCATTTTTTTGAATACGAAATTATTGCAAATCATTGCTTTACACAAAAAAAAAAAAAAACGAAAAAACTTTTTAAATAAAGTAAAAAAAAAAAAATAAAGTAAAATACAAACATTTTTGTTTAACGATATTTTCAAGGATAAATTTAAAATGTTTCAATTAAAAATTTGTTTTAAAAATTAACACCTCTTAATAAAAAAAAAAAAAAAAGAAAAAAAATGAAAGAAAATATCTTTTTAAATGTTTTTTTTTTTTTTTTTAACGAAAAAATAATATTTCGATTTATTTTTGAGAGAATATATTATAAATAAATATTTATTTAATTTTTTTTTTTCTTAAAATTTAAAGATAAAAGTTTTAATAATAACGTTAATAATAAAATTAATTTTATCAATGATTAATTAATTGTTTATTTGTTTAAGTTATTTATGTGTCAAAGTCGTAAAAAAAAATTTTTTTTTAAATATAATAAAACGATATTGTTTAAAAAAAAAAAAAATTTAAAAATATTCTAAATTAAACGGTTGTAAAATCGAATTAAAAAAAAAAAAAAGAAAAAAAAATGAAAGATTTGCTGAATAGCTACAAATTGCAATTGTTTAATAAATGAGGTAAACGTGGAAGAAGGAAATTGAATTTAATTAAAATTTTTTTTTTTTTTTTTATTTACCGATTACATTATTTATAACTTATGCCAAAGAAAAAAAAAAAAATTTAATCAAGCCGAAATTTTTTTTCCCGTCAAATTATTTTTTTTTAGTTAGTTTAAATTAAAAACACGTTTTTTTTGATAATTTTTTGTTACATTCGAATTGAGCAATGTTGTGCAAAAAAAAAAAAAAACGAATAAAAAATTAAAATTTTGCTGACTTACCAATAGTAAGCAATTTTGTCGCCCAAACCGCATTTAACGTTTTTATCCAATAAATTAAATGAAATATTTGTCGTTGCACCCGTCATCCATTTAATATTTATCGGAGATTTAGATACATCGAAATTATAATTAAAAAATTTTGTTAAGTCGATTGGAGTTTCCCAATGAAATTGTTTTGCAATTTCTCCCCAAAATTCTGTAGGATTTTCTATCGATTTTTTATGAAGACGTTTATATTCGTCCATTGATTGAACGTATGATCTTTTAACGATTCCCGGTTTCGGATGAAATAATTCATTATCTTTTCCCATTATAATAACGTCTATTTCCGTCTTCCTGACTTGACTTTTGGGCAAGATTATTTTTCTTTTCGTTTTTTTTCCGTATACGTTCGTTTATAATTGTACGAATTATTAAATTCCTTTTGACACTTACTCACCGCCCGCTTATTACTCACTGCCTCACTAAGTGAAAGCTGTTTTAAAGCAGAAGAAAATTCAGTCCCCACCATTTTTTTTTTTTTTTTGCGATTGTAGCGCCAAAAATGATTTCCGCTGTCTTTTTTTTTTTTTTTTTTTTTACTTTTCTTCAATAAATTATGCCCTGAATAACACAATTTTTTTATATAAAATAAATAATAATTGACTTTAAAAATATTTAATTTGTAATTAAATTCCCTCATGTTTCGTATTCATGAAAATATTTAACAAATACCCAACTTTGAAAAAGTTTTTTTATTGTATTATAAGAACTTATCAATGGCTGTCTTTCATATATATAGTCACACGTTTATATTTGTAATAATTAAAAAAAAAAAAAGACTCTTAGACAATTATAATTACTTAAATGAATTTTTCTTTCTTTTGCAATTTAATTTACTCCCATAAAAGTAAATAATTAAATATAGTAACTTGAATTAAGGTTAACAGTTTCAAAGCTCTAAACCACAACATCAATTGTTTTATTATAAATAAAAACTTTAAATTATTTAAACATTTATTTTCTTTTTAGTAATTTACGTTTTAATAATTGCTGTGGTTTATTTTATTTTAAAATTAAATCAAAGCCTTACCTTAGTTTTTATGCTTTTTTCAGCCTCTGTTATATAATTCCTTACAATGCCAAAACAAGTCATTAACAATTTTTTATAGTTTTATAAATTGTCATGTAACAAAAAAAAATATATATACAGAAAACAATGTCCTTTGAATGAAAAATATCAAGGCCATACACGTAATTAATTAAAACTTTGTCATTAAACATATAAATTATTAAATATTTATTTACACATATGCGATGCTGCAGGTAGTTTTTTTAAAAACAATATGTTTTTTATTGTTGTTTACATAACTTATTGAATTTATTTACAAATTTAAAGTTTAGAATGAAGAATAAAAATCCTTAAGATTTATTTTATTCTAATTTTAAATAATAACTGTCATTATTATTTAAAATAACTTAAAATAATATAAAAATTAATTTTTAAGTATTCGACCATTAACAAATTTTTTACTCGCAAAAAAAAAATTTGATAAATATTCAGTTAAGCGAGTGGTACATTTTTAATGTCATAACTCACATTTAAGTATTCATAACATTTTTACCTTTGTAATATTCTATTTTAATTAAAAACAAAATTAGATAATTACATATAATTATTTATAAATAAAACTCTGAGGTTTTTTTTTTAAAAAATTAAATTTATTTTGCAAACAATTAAATAAAATAATTTACAACAACATTTTTTCGATAAAAATCAATTATTATTTATATTATTTTTTTTTTTTTATAAAAAGTTAAAAATTTTTTGAACATTTTCACATATATATATTTGTATATATACAAACTATTAAATATATTTATTTGTACCAAATATGTATTAATATACATATATACTAACAAACTCAATATTAATTATAACTCTAAGTCGACAATGTAAGATTAATGATCACATTTTTTTAAATATTCTTCATAATTTTCTTCTGACATTAAATTCTGTAATTCTGATTCATTTGAAAGTTCTATTTTAAACAGCCATCCTAAAAAAAAATTTTAAATTTTCATTGGTAAAAAGAGTTACAAAGTATTTTGTCATTAAAATAATAAATCTACAATGCATTTTTGATGAGTATAAAAATTTTTATTTTTCTCAGGTGATATTGTATAAAAATTAATGATAGTAACTTGTACTATCATATAAAACAAATAACTTGACAAATATATTATGTAACTACAGAGCTGCAGGGCAGTGAACTAAAAAAAATTAAATAATGGCAAATATTTACCTTTGTCATAGCAAGACTGATTAACCAAACCAGGACTCTCTTCGACTTCAGTATTTTTTTCAATAACTTTGCCTGAAACTGGAGTATAAACTTCACTAGCTGCTTTGACAGATTCTAAAGCACCACATTCATCTGATAATAATAAAATTAAATGTCAGATATGATGTTATTTAATGAATAATTGATTAAAAAAAAAAAAATTTTTCAAGGTACTTACCATGTTGGTTTATAGTTGAACCGACATCAGGTAATTGAGCATAAACTACATCTCCTAAAGCTTCTTGAGCATAATTTGATATTCCAACAGTACCTACATTACCAGAAACTACCACCCATTCATGTTTTTCAGAAAATTTTTTGGCTAAAAGAGTGATAATGAAATTTAGTTATTGGAAAAAAAAAAAAAATTCATTACTTAATTTGGTTATACCATAGAGTTTTAAAAATATTTCATAAATAAAAGAAAAGGAATTATTTAAAAAAAAAATAATTTGGATTATAAAGTAAATATTTTATAACCACAAAAAAAAATTCATCACGAATATAATCACTCGCGAATATAATTAATTAAAAAAAAAAAAAAAAAACACAAACAGAAAAACAATAAATAAATCAAAATCAAATTAAAAACAAACAATCAATCAATCACCTGAATATCTATTAAGAGTTGAAGAAAAATGTCGCGAATTTAAACCATCATTTGAAAATTTAAATGAATTTTTTTTTAAATTAAAAACGATGGATTTAGAAAAATTTGTTATTAAACGACCAGTAACAGCCATTTTACTCGCTAGTCGATTTACTTCGAGACTAACGATTTTCCTCACATGTGGTCGTAAAAAATTATTTTTTTTCTTTGGGTCAATGCGCACGGGTTATGACTTTTATTTATGTTTATTATTATTATTATTATTATTATTATTTTATTTATTTAACAAATAAATTTGCAAAAATTAATTATAATACACGATATAATAAATAATTACGACTACACTGACTTTTAATTATTATTTTTTTAAAAGGAAAACAATTGTCTCGAATAAAAGATAATGAATTTTTAATTTCATTGCAAATTCTTCACGCCATTTTTAATTATTAAAAAATTAACCAAATTCTTTCCTTTTTTTTAAAAATAAGTAAATATTTTTATTTAATTATATATATATATATTATTTTAAAATACATGGGGGAAAATTAAGAAAAAAAATAAAATAAAAAATAAATTTTTTGAACTCGTTTTGTTTAAGCCTATATTTTGCTGATAAATAAATTCTAGTAACCTCGAAAAAAATCTTAGTTATTGATAAAGAAAATGGAGTCTCGAGGGGGTCTTTTTTTTTTTTTTTTTTACCACAGTTCAAGATTAATATAATATAATAGAAAAAATCATTTTTTTTGACATTGACCAATGATTAAAGATAATTTCAATACAAAAAAAAAAAAAACAAAAAAACCAATTTAGGTGTAAAAAATTCAAAATTTTCACATTACAATCATATGCAAGTTACCAAAAATTAATTAAAACTATATTTTTATTAAAATAATTAATAAATGTATTATCTAGATATTTAATTATTACATTTCTAAGCATCAATTTCAAATTTTATTAAATGAAAATTAATTTTTTTTTAAACGTTCGATATTTATATTTTGTTTACGTGAATGATTGCAATAAATTTGATGGTTGAATGATAATTGATTAGAACTTGCCTTTTAATTTTTTATTGATTGTAAAACTTTTACTTACTAGTACAATTTTATTTATTTTGTAATGAAGAATAAAAAAAAATAAAAACGAATTAAAGGATAAGTTTGTTAAAATAATATAATGGCGCTAATGGTTAAACTTTTTTGTAATTATTCATTAAACCGGAAACGAGATTTTCGATGGAGTCGATGTCTCGATTTTAGAATTCTGATGCAAGGTGGGGCTTAACATGGAGAGATAACAAATACTTACACAGGAAATTTTGGATTATTATATTTAATATAATAATGATTTTGAACATTATTTGTAAGAACTATATATTTTTAATATTTACTTTTAAAATTTATTAATTAAGTATTTTTATTTGTTTGGTTAACGTAAATAAAATATCAGAACATTTAAAATCAATAATATACTCTTTTCTAATGTGCTTTAAATGTCAAACTTTAAAGTTTTTAAAATTAATTTTTGAAAATTTATTTTGAATAGTCTTGTTTTTTTAATAAAATTTAAATTTATATAAAGAATTGTTTATTTGTATAATAAAAGTGCAAGCTTTGAAATGGATTTATATTCAATAATTGTAGTGAATAGTTTAAAAATAAAAATTTTCAAATATACTTAACAAATATTATTAGCTGTGACTAATTATAACTTTATTTTAATTTTAGTTCAAATTATAAAATAAATTATTGAGTTTAAAGCAATTGTACTTATTTTGGTTTTCTATTTTTAGGATAAAAAAATTAATCGTACTAATTAGGGAAAATGTCATCTGTTCAAAGAGCCTTTACTCAAAAATTATCTAAGCATAATGCTGCCGATGTTAGGAAGCATGCTAGTTTATCAAGAGATAATTCAAGAAGTTGTACTTCAAGTTTATTGGGTTGCATAACATCACTCTCAATAAATGATGTTGTGGAACCACTCGATTATGAGGAGTTCATATTACAAAATAAGGATATAATAGATAAAGATCCTTTAGGAGCCATTTTTAAATTCCCAGCAAATGACATTGAAGTTAAAGTAGTGCCTCGCTCTATTAGAACAGAACAACCTATAATTCCTGAAGAACCGCCAGAGCAGTGGTCATGTCAAGTAAAAGATAGTGTGCAATGGCTGACAAGAGATTTTGTTATGATCAACTATAATTATAGATGTCATTCTACATCTTGGAACATAGCTGACTCATTAAATGAACGTCAAGAACTGGCACAACTATTACCAAGACAAGAATTTGAAATTGATTCTGAAATTTCTAATATAGAAGCTCCAATAAATGGAAAATCTAATTGGGATTCTTACAGTGAAGGTGGAAGTAGTATAACAAGTGATGGGAGGAGAAGTTCTTGGGCATCCCTTGATCTTCGACATAGTGAAAGTGATAAGTTAGATTTAAAATTACTTGACAGAGTTGCTCCAGAACTAATGGATCAACTAAATGCTACATCGAGACTAGAAAATCGGCATAAAGAATTTTTTTTGTTGTATTCTTCGCAAGATGAAGAAGATATGATTGAAAAAAGACTGCAAGAACCAATTCCGCAAGATAGTTTAAGTCATAATATTTTTATCAAATGTTTACAACTTAGACTGGAACTAGATGTTGAACCTATATTTTTAACATTAGCTTTATATGATGCAAAAGAAAAAAAAAAAATTTCAGAAAATTTTTACACAGACTTAAATAGTGAAGAAATTAAAAATATGCTTTCAGGTCATGTTGAATTTAGTGACATTTCAACGAGAAGCAGAGATTGCATATTTAGCGTCACTCATCCGTCTCCTGACGTCTTTTTAGTTATTAAATTAGAAAAAGTATTACAAGGTGATATCTCGGAATGTGCAGATCCTTATATGAAAGATGACAAAAACAAAGAAAAAGTAAAGTTTAATGCATTGGCAGCGTGCGATCGTTTAGGAAAATACAGAATGCCATTTGCATGGACTGCAATTTCTTTAATGAATCTCATTAATAATGAAAATTCTGAAAAAGACGAACATTCTTCATCAAGTTCAAATAGTTTAGACAGAAAATCAAGTAATTCTAGTCTTGATAGTATAAAAAAACGCGCCAATATGGGCTCATTAACTGGCAGAGGTTCGCTCGATCGTTACTCAGGCTGTGATAAAAGAAGATCTTGGTCACCAGAAGATTTTATAACAGGATTAGAGTCACTGCGACCTCTTACAATAACAATATCCAGTTTTTTCAGGCAAGAGAGTGAACGACTGAAAGATGAAGATCTATACAAACTTCTGCAGGATTTAAAAAGGCCTTGCTACTTAATGAAAAAATTAAAAGTTATACCGGGAGTGTTAAAAATGCAAATCGCTCCTTGTCCAGATGATTTAAAATACGTTTTAACACCTGAACTTGCAAAAGTTTTGCCTTATCCCGATCAAAAAGGAAGACCTGTAAAGGAAATATTAGAATTTCCCTCCAGAGAAATATTTTTGCCTCACAACACATTTCGTAATTTATTGTACGTTTATCCAAAAGAATTAAATTTTACTAACAGAGGAATCAGGGATTTAGGATCTGCTAGAAATCTTACAATAAAAGTTGAACTGAAGTCTGGAGAGAATGAATCATTACCGTACATTTTTGGGAAATCATGTTGCCCTGAATTTACCACCGAAGCTTATACTTCAGTGTCGTATCATAACAAGTGTCCAAGTTTTTACGATGAAATCAAAATCAAACTTCCTTCCAAGTTGGGTCCTCAGCACCATTTATTTTTCACATTGTGTCATATATCATGCAAGAAAAAACCCGAAAATCCTCCGGTTGAAACTCCAGTGGGTTACACTTGGATTCCACTTCTCAGTGTGGATCGTCTTCGAAGCGGAGAACTCAGTCTTCCAGTCATGATGGAACCTCCGCCTTCAAATTATTGTTACATAACTCCAGACGTTCTTTTACCTGGCACACGTTGGTTCGATAATCACAGGGGTGTATTTCTAGTCAACATCGAAGCCACGTCATCCGTACATCCTCAGGACAAATACCTTGACAGATTTTTATCATTATGTGCTTCCTTAGAAGAAGGAACTTTACCTCCGCTTTACGGTGAAACAAACATTGAAACAGAACTGAAAAAAAGTATTGCTGAATTAAACAATGCCAAAATGGAGCCTTTAGTTCGATTTCTTCCACTTGTTTTTGATAAATTACTTACTCTTTTAGTTAGACCTCCAGTTGTAGACAGAATGACTTTAAATTTAGGACAAGCTTTGTTGGAATCTATTGCAAATTTGGTTCAAAACATAACAATGCATGCCGTCGGAAACAAAGATCAACATAATCGTCATAGTTTGCTGGCATCTTACATACAGTATCAATGCTCAGTTCCAGCTTTGATGGTTACTGATTTTCGCGTTGGAAATGGCAGAATGCAAAAGAGTTCCAGTGAATCAGATTTAAAAAGTGAATTTGAAAATGGTATTGCATCAGCATTGGCTAGAGGATTAGATCGAACTGGCAGTATGAGAACTGGTCGCAAAGATGAAAATGAACTTTCCTGTGCTCCAAGAAGTTTGCTTCACGAAATGATAGCTCTTCAGTGGGTAGTTTCAAGCGTTCCTGCCAGAGATCTCGCCATGTCTAATTCATGGTTCTTTTTAGAGCTCATAATTAAAAGCATGACCGAAACTTTATGGAGACTGGATGGACTGGATGAACCTCGACAACTTAGATTTTCCGAACAGTTTTGTGATGATATAACAATGTTGGTGCAAACAATCACAGCTGAAATCATTTCAAAGCATAACAAAGATCCAAAAGCTAGTCAGAGTTTAAACACTAGTGTCGCTTTTTTTATATTTGATTTATTTAGTATTATGGATAGGGGTTTAGTTTTAACATTAATAAAAACTTACTATAAGCAAATGACAGCAAAAACAGCATCGTTGCCGGATGCTCACGCTCACGCTCTCATTGGTTACAAATTAGATTTTTTAAGGATAGTTCTTAGTCACGAACATTTGATTCCTCTTAATCTTCCCGTTCCGATAGCAGTATCTGGCCGCTCTTCGCCAAGTCTTTCAGTTGTTTCTTCAAATTCACAAACTTCTTTGGTATTTAACGCTCCCGTCTCAGAACGTATTCAAATGGCAGAGTTGACTTCACAATTCAGGAGCCAACATTATTTAATCGGCTTACTTCTCACCGAATTAAATGCAGTTCTCGAGTGTCAAAATCCAATATTGCACAAGAAAGTAGTGAACATTGTTCGAAATTTAATGACTTCTCACGATCGAGATTCCAGGTATTCGGATCCAGCTTGCAAAGCACGTGTGGCATCTTTATACATGCCCTTATTGGGAATTATTTTAAAATCTTTACCGTTGCTTCATAAAAGTAGTGCAGATACTACAAAATTGACTCATGATGAACCAGAATCAATTCAAACCAAAGTTGCTGCCTTAATATCAGGATCTGCTCCAGTTCCAATTTTTTACGAAATGGCCCCTCCAAGTCAAACAACTCAGAGAAACAAAGGACTGAATGCTGAAACGACAAAACACTTGCTTGGGTGCTTCCTATGGCTACTTAAAAATTTGGATAGAGATTTACTTCGAAATTGGTGTCTCGAATCGTCGGCAACTTCTTTGAAGCAGCTATTGGATGCTTTTAATATTTCCCTACATTGCTTCGAATATTTAGGAAAAAAACAAATTAAATACAGAGCTCAGAAAAAATTTGGAAAGGACGTAGATATTAAAGCCAAGCTAGAAGATGTTATTTTAGGTCAGGGTTCGGCAAGATCGGAAATGATAATGAGAAGAAAAGAAAAAAATCCACCATCCCCTGGTTGGGCGACTGGAGAAGGAGGGAGTGTTGTTGCAGGGCAGCCAGATAGACTTAGGTGGCGAAAAGAGCAAAAAATATACAAACCGTCGTCCGAAGGTGGGATTTGCCCCAGAGCTCAGGCCGAAGCAGATGCTCTTATAGAAGGGAATCTTGCCACAGAAGCTACTCTTATTATTCTGGATACACTGGAAATGATTGTTCAAGTTGCTTGTTCATCCAATAGTTTTCAAGGTCAGGGATTATTGGGCTACGTGTTCGGAGTGATTTTAAGAGCCCTATCGTGCAATCAAAGCAATGAAGCCCTTCATAACTTATTCGGGACACAAAGAGCAATCGTATTTAAATTTCCTAATTTATTATTTGATGAAGAAACCGAACATTGTGCCGATCTATGCCTACAACTTCTGACTCACTGCAGCTCCCTGTTGAGCCCCGTTCGAGCTCACGCTGCTGCATCTTTGTATCTTCTAATGAGGCAAAACTTTGAAATCGGAAATAATTTCGCTAGAGTAAAAATGCAAGTTACGATGTCTCTGAGTTCTTTGGTTGGTACCAGCCAAAGCTACAGTGAAGAGGCTCTCAGAAGAGCTTTAAAAAACATTTTAGTGTTTGCGGAAGAAGATAACGAGTTACGCGACACAACTTTTACAGAGCAAGTCCGTGATTTGGTTTTTAATCTTCACATGATTCTATCCGACATGGTGAAAATGAAAGAATTTCAAGAAGATCCGGAAATGCTATTGGACTTGATGTATAGGATAGCAAAAGGTTATCAAAATTCTCCAGACTTGAGGCTCACGTGGTTAGCTAACATGGCACAAAAACACATGGAACATAATAATCACACTGAGGCGGCAATGTGTTTGGTTCACAGCGCTGCTCTCGTCGCCGAGTACCTTCACATGCTAGAAGATCAAAAACATTTACCCGTAGGAGCTGTTTCGTTTGAAAAAATCACACCGAATGCATTAGAGGAAAGCGCAGTTTCCGATGACGTTCTCAGTCCGGACGAAGAAGGTGTTTGCCTAGGAAATTATTTTACGGAAAGCGGTTTGGTGGGTCTTTTGGAACATGCAGCAAATTCATTTCATACAGCTGGAATGTATGAAGCGATGAACGATGTTTACAAAATTTTAATTCCCATCGCCGAAGAAGCCAGAGATTATAAAAAATTGGCCAACATTCATGGGAAACTACAAGAAGCGTTCAATAAAATCGAGCAGCTACAAGGTAAAAGAGTTTTCGGCACTTATTTCCGCGTCGGATTTTACGGATCGAAATTCGGAGATCTCGACGGCGAAGAATTCATATATAAAGAACCCACGTTGACGAAGCTTCCCGAAATTTTCAACCGATTGGAAAATTTTTACGGCGAAAGATTCGGAATGGATAACATGGTGATAATAAAAGATTCGAATATGGTGGATCCGAAATCACTAGATCCGGACAAGGGTTACATTCAAATCACATACGTCGAACCGTATTTCGACACGTTCGAAGTTCCACGTCACAGAGCGACTTACTTTCACAAAAATTTCAACATAAAAAGATTCGTTTATTATACGCCTTTCACGGTGAGCGGGAGAGCGCACGGAGAACTTCAAGAACAGTGCAAAAGGCGAACGGTTCTCACGACGGCAAATCATTTTCCCTACATAAAAACGAGGATACAAGTCGTAGAGAGGCGGCAAAGCGTCGTCACTCCGATCGAAGGTGCCATCGAAGACATACAAAAGAAAACGACAGAATTGGCGGCGGCAACGCATCAAGAACCTCCCGATCCGAAAATCCTTCAAATGGTTCTGCAGGGTTGCATAGGAACGACCGTGAATCAGGGACCCATGGAAGTCGCTTTGGTTTTCCTGTCGGATTTGCAAGAAGGAAAAATACCCAACAGACTTCAAACGAAACTCAGATTGTGTTTTAAAGATTTTTCGAAAAAATGTTCGGACGCGTTGAGAAAGAATAAAAATTTAATCGGGCCCGATCAGAGAGACTATCAAAAAGAGCTGGAAAGAAATTATCATAAATTTACGGACAGGCTCACGCCCTTACTGGGTCGAACGATTTAAAAAAAAGCCTTAAATTTATTATTATTATTATTATTATTTTTATACCAAAAAAAAAAAAAAAAAAAAAGTTAATAAATAAATAAATGACGCAGTTGGTAGTTCCTCTTAAAACTTCAGTATTTTGTATTTTATTAATTATTTTTATCACATTAATAATAATAATAATAATAAATTATTTTTTTAAAATTTAATTAATAGAAATTTATTTATTTATTTATTTATTATAATATAATAAAAAAAAAAATCAGACTTGATATAATAATAATAATAATAAGATATATATATATATATAAATAAAATTATGGAATCGATTTAATATCACAAATAATTATTTTTATTTATATTTTTTTTTTTTTTTTTTTTTTTACTTTCGATCTCACGTCCCGAAAAATTTATTTTAAATTAAAAATTTTATACGATTTCGAATTTTTAATAATAATAATAATAATAATAATAATAATAATAATAATAATAAAGTGGTTGTTAAGCGGTTATATTTAAAATAAATTTTATTATTATTATTATTAACAAATGACCGGTTAATATAAATACCGAGGGGGGTGGGGAGATGGGGGTGGGGCAGTTTTTTTTCGTTTTCGAAAACATTATTATTATTATTATTATTAATTAATTAATTTTTTTTAAGAAGATTTTATGCGTTGTAGTATTTTAGGTGACTAGCAATGGATTATTATTATTATTATTAAACGCGAAATTTTTCTTTTTTTCATTTTTCGCGTAGTTTAAAAGGTCAAAACCGAGGAGGTTAAAAGTAAGGTCATAATAATAATAATAATTTTTTTTATAGAATTATTTTCGTTGATTTTTTGCCCATTTTTGTAAAAAAAAAAAAAAAAATTATTAAAATTTGTTTCCACGGTTGCCGGTTTTAACCTTTTTGGGATTTTGACATTTTTTTTTTTTTAATTTTCGACTTCTCCCAAATTTTAATAAAAAAAAAATAATAATAATAATAATAAGCGGTAAAAAAAGAAAAAAAAATCACCGCCATGTTTTTTAATTCGGTAAAAAATAATAATAATTTAAGTAAAAAAAAGTTTTTTTTTTTCTTACGTTTCCGGTTGTTCTTCGGTCGATTTGTTATTATTTCGTTTCGTTCTGGGGGGTGGTACGGGTTGAGGTATGACGTAATTTTTAGGTTTTTCATTTACCTTTTTCGGATCGTCGTCATCGTTTGTTTTCCAAAAAGCCAAACGATTATTTCCTTCTTTGAAATTTTTCCAAAATTGCGATTTTTTAGGCGTGCTATGAAAAACGGGCAATTGTTTTTGTTCCCACCATTCTTTAACCTTTTCCTTTTTGTAAAAATAAAAGTAAACAAATAAAAATGTAACGAGTACGAGGAAAAGTGTCGCCACGATGATGACGATGAGTAAAAACCACCATCCGGAATAATCTTCTCCTTCCGGTTTTTCTCCCGTATCCGTTTCCGTCGAGACTTCCGTATCGTCGATTTCGTTTGGAATGTATGGAGTTTCGTCTGCTTCTCCGGAACTATCGATTATCGCAACATCTGCACACGCTCTAAATTCTTCTTGGGGACCGCAACCGACTTGACCCGTACCGTTTGTGCACATACCCCAATTATTTCCTAATAATTTTTTTTTTTTTGGTAATTTAACTCCCCCGTGATAGACAGTTTTAGAAGAAAAAATGAGTAATAAATAATATTTTTTAACTTACCGGCTATGTACTTCCATTGTAAAATGCATTGAGAACACGTTAAATTATCCGGAAGGTCATATTTCATTTCGAAAACTTTACTTCCGGCCGGTGGGTAGTACCTGGTCTCGTGAACCATGACAGGTTCATCTCCGTAAGTGGCTCCGTTATTTTTTTTAGCTAATTTCAAAACGTTTAAATCTAAACATTCTTGGGTTCCTACCTTGTGTGGAGCATTGTTCGGACACAATCGAAATTCGAAATATCCTTTGTGATTCGCCGTCAATTCCACACGAATGTTTATTTTCGAACCCATTTTATATTTTCTCACAATTATTCCATTTCCATATTTTCCTCCAGCTTCATGTGGTCTCGGCTATATTTACAAAAAAAAAAAAAAAAAATTTATTTATTATTATAATTATCGTAAAACCTGTTTCCTTTTTGTTTGAACTACGTGACCCTTCCCCCCCCCCTATTTTACTTTCTTTTTAAATATTTATTTACTATTAATTAACGACCTTGGATATTCGAAAGTGAAAATAATAATAATCTTGAACCTGATTTGATTTTTTTGAAATACTCGAATAAATTATTAATGATAAATAAATAAATATAGACACACACCTTTGGTAAATCCCACGCGTCTCCACATATACCACATTTTCCACCATTGCTTTGCCATTGCCTTGTATACCCTCCGCAATAAAGTTCATGGTCGTTGTAATTCGGAGGGGTATTAAAACCATATCTCCACATTGTCGCTCTTGATGGTGGTTCTATTAAACGTCCATGACTTTCTACCGGTTGATAAAGGCTCGCATCTAACATGAATAAAAAAACTAACGGCCATACTTTCATTGTCGATGAATTTTTTTCTCACTTCTGCAAAAATAAAATACAAAAAAAAAGGAAATTTTTTTTTTTTTAATTACATTTTTACCGACTACAAATAATACAACAACAACAAGATATGTTTTTAAAATTTAATTTCGTTCGTTTGTTTTTTAAACGTTTATTAATTTGTTTCCCATGAGGTTATCACCTTCATCACCTTAAACGGAAATTTGTGTGTGTGAAAATTCAATGGAAAAAAAATAATGATGAATGAATGAATGAATGAATGATTGATTGTTAATAATAATTTACCTTAAGGTATATTCTCATTCATTTCAAATTTTATAATTATCTATTCGATTCCGACATCAAGGAAATTATTCACCATTTTTTTTTATTTATTTATTATTAGATTATTATTATTATTTTTTAACTCGCGCTCCGGATCAAACATGGCGGATTTCATCACTTAAAGAAAGGTCTCACAAATTTCACGTATTTAGAACAATGTAAACAATATTAAATGGAATGAATGAATGAATGAATGAATTGGATAAAATATCGATTGATTATTTGTCACGTAAACAAAGTAATAAATCAAATAGAGAAAATTATTTTCTAGATCTTTCGATGGTTTTGTTGTTGGCTTTTGCGGTTTAAAATGTTTTTTTGTTGTTTTGTAGTAAAAAATGTGTTCAAATGTCTGTTCGTATATTTAGTAATCCATAAATAATCGTAAAAATAAGTCGTTGCAAAAAAAACCGCCATTTTTTTAATTATTAATTGTTATTACGTAGGTTCGTGTTTGAAAATAACAAATTTATGGATTTTAAACTTGAAGAAATATTATTTAAAATCTATGTAATTATTAAAAAAATTTTTTTTTTCTTTTAAAAAACGCGTAATTGAATGATTTTGCAATAACCGTAAAACCATAATAATTATAAAAAAATATACGAAAAAGATCCTCGTGATTTAATAATAATTATTATTATTAAATTTTTAAAAAAAATAAATAAATAAATTTTTTTTTTTAGTAGGCGAACTCGTTTCCTCTTTTTTTGTTTTTTTGCATAATTCATAAAAGAACACGAAATAATTTGTTTGTAAGTTTAAAAAGATGGCATTTTTATTACAAAAAAAAAAAAAAAAGAAAAGTAAATTTTATTTATGTAATTTATGATAAGTACGTATACATAAAGATATAGGAAATAAAATTTCAAATAATGGTAAATTATAATAATAATAATAATAATAAAATTACGTAAACGGTCAATTTTTTGATCTGAGTACAACAACTTTCGAGAATCTTTCATAAAAGTTTTCAACTTTACAAACTTTTTCCGTTTTTTTTTTCTTATTTAAATTTATACGTGAATAATATTAATAATAATAATTATTATTATTATTACGATTACTTTATTGAGGAAATGTTTATTTAAAAATTTAACCTCAAATTTTTTTAGTTAGAAATGATAGAAAAAAAAATAAAAAATAAATAAAAATGGCATCGACATCTTACATTTGACTAGAAAAAAAATTTTTTTAATTTTAATAAACGTGGTAATAGATTAACGAATTATGAAAAAAAAATTTTCTTTTTTCTTTTGGGAAATTGTTTGCAATCGTACATGTGTGTACGTACGACCTCATTTTTTTTTTTCATTAATGAAGCAATCAATTCATTTCCTACGGCAATTGTTTTATTATTATTATTATCCATTAATAAACATTTAACTTATGATAATATAAATTCGTTCGCACGTGATTGTTAAAAATCGTGTGAGAAATATAACAACACATTATTTAAATCCCTTACAAAAAAAAATTTTTTTTTAAAGAATCATCATCCCGAAAGCTTTTCTATTTATTTGTTTGACCTATACTCATTTTATTACTCAATAAAATTTCTCAAATTAATAATAATAATAATAATAATAATAAAATTTAAAAATCCTCAACTCAATTTTCCAGGTAACCAAATAAAGCTTATTTTTAAAAAAGAAAACCGGTTCGTCAACTTTTCATAAATAAAAACATGAATTTCTATTTAAAGTTTTTCATATAAAAAAATAAATAAAATTAAAGTTCACGTACCGATTTTCTCAAAAATTAAAAAACATCGTAAAATTATATTTTTACGTAAGGTAATAAAAATAATAATAATAATAAATATTACGTAATAAGACGTGTGGAAAGAAAAAGATGATACGATTTCAATTGAATTCGTGAAGGGAAAATTTCATCAATTTATTTAAAATTTGCAACCTTATTAAATTCAAACCGTTTGTGTTTTAAATTTAAAAAAAAACTACCTGGATTTTATTTATTTATATAAAAACAACATAAAAAATTTAAATAATTACTTTCCCCCTCCCTCCCTCCCTACCCCTACTTATAACCCATTGTTTATTATTTTATTACCATCGTGATAAACTTGATGGAAAAGAGAAATTTTTACTCACAAAAAGGAAACTTTTTTTTTATCTCGTGCCACTATCACTGGTTGTTGTTGTTTTTCTAATCATTAATAACAACGTATTTCACACTAAGGGGCAGTAATTATTATTACCGTATTAAATTTTTCTTTTTTTCTACGCTCATTTTTCAATTTTTTTTATTAATAATAAACAACAATAATAATAGAATCATATTATTATACCGATAATAAATAAATAAATAAACAAATTGCCTTACGCAACCCTTTAGAATTTTTATTCGACGTATAAATTTATTACTTTTGTATTAACATAATAAATTTATAATAATATATAAATGTATAAACATAAAAACCGTTTTGATGCGTGTTATGTTAATAAATATAAAAACAAATTTAAATTTAAATTTAAACAATTATTAATTAAAAATTAATTTTATAATTACTATATTTACTAGAAAGTAGCATAGGTAATAATTTTTTTTTTTCGACAAAATGGCGAAAATTTTTTTTTTTACAAAAATAAAAAAAATAATACCTGACCTCGAACCTAATTTTTAAAAAAATGATTGAGGAGTTTGAACGATACCTAAAAGTAATTTTTCTTTTTTTTTCTCGCCATTTTATTTACATTCACATTCATACCATCGAAATTAATGTTTTGGATTTTGAAACAACAAAGAAAGGATATTTTTTTTGTTTCGACCTTAAATTGAACAAACGGACAACCGGAATATTATAAAGATAAATTGTAAATAATTATTTTTCAAGTAAAAAAAAAAAAAAATCGGTTAAATTTCGATAAAAAATGAAAAGAGAAACAAGTACTAATGATTTTCAAAATAAAAGTTTTTTTTTTACGAATAGAAATTTGTTGTTTTCTATAATTACTCGTTGCAAACAAACAAACAAACAAACGAACAAACAGAAATTTTTCATTTGTACCTACGCGTTTAATACATCGAAAAAAAAAATTTTTTTTTAAATAACGGTAAATTTTTTTTTTTTATTACAAACAAATTATACCGGTACGTGGAAGTAGATCGAGACTCGATGAAATATTTAAATTTTTTTACGAAACAAATGATTCGAAACAATTTCCCCCCCCCCCGAAAAAATGCCCGAAACGATAAAGTATTAAAAAAAAAATAATAATAATAATCATTTATAACTTACATAAAGTAAAAAAATTTCAATAACTAATTTTTTTTTTTTTTTTAATAATAATTTGATTGTTTTTGGGGTTATGTAAAAAAAAAACCAAACAATTTTTTTTTTTTTTTGGCGGAAATTTAAAACAAATTGCAATTTTATTGTATTCAAAGTAGTCGATGTAATTTCAAAAAAAAAATAATAATAATAAATAAATAATCACAAAGCAAAGGTTATTAAACCGTAAAAAGAAAAGAATATTTGTTTCGAAAGTTTTTTTTTTTTTTTTTGTTTCTCCTAAGCGTGAATAACAACGTTTTGGCCTTTTTTTTCTGTTTGTTTGTTATGAAAAAAAAAAAAAAAAAACAAACAAACGTTTGTTTTTGTCGGGGTAATAAAAATCAACGAAAGGTGAAAATATAAATTTTTTTGCTAATAAACTAATGATTAAAATTAATAACATTTATGTACGTATGTATTTTAAATAATTTATAAAAAAAAAAAAAATTGTTTATGTTTGTGCGATTGTTTTATACAATGTAAACAAAATAAAATTTCTATTATGAATGAATGAAATGTTATGAATTCGTGTTGTTATGAATGAATGAAACATAAAACCGCTAACATAATATTATAAAGTTTCTCTGGTTAAAAATTTAGAAAAGTAAAAAAAATATTATTTTTTTGGCAAAGTGCTAAGAAAAACAAAAAAAAAATAGTTAAGATAATAAAAAGCTGAATTAACTTTTTTTTTAAAAATAATAATAATAATAATAGTAGTAGAAATGGCGAGATAATAAAACAAAAGAATTGTTTGATTTATAAACGAAAATAATTTTACTCAAAAACAATTTGAAATTTTTTTCGCTCCATATAACAAATCTATTTAAAAAAAAAAAAAACCGTCAGCCATTGTTTTTTTAAATAAATGCAACATGGCGTTCTACTTAGTATCGACTATATATTTTATTCGACGATTAAAAATATTTTAATGAATTTTATTAATTAAATTTTCGATATTTAAAAAAAATTTTTTATTGTTTTTAAAAAATTTACCCAAAACGACGTAAAACGAATTTAACCAACCTACTTTCGTGACGTAAAAAAAAAAAAATTTATGATGGTATCATGTCCGCAGGTTACAGGCATTTAAGTTAAAAAATTTTATGATCTGATAAACCTTATTAACTATGCCCTATGCTCACTAATGTCTAAAAACTAACCAAAATTACGGCCCAAAAAAATGTTTTAAATACGACAAAACTATGACAAACTTTTAAATGATTACAATCTTGTCAAGGGTCGACAAAATGATAACAACAACAACAACAACAAGTTCGGATACTTTTTAACATTTTGAAGGTTACGCCTACTACTGGAAATCTATTTCATATCCTATTGTTCTTTTAAAATGGCTAATAAAAAAAAATTTTTTTTTTTTTATAGTTTTGTTGTTATACAATAGTAATACATATTTCACACTTGATTTAAAGAGATTTGACCTTCGATTCCACGACTATTATCATTATATCACTAATGAAAAGAAAATTATTTGTGGGGGGACACTATTTTTTCGAAAGAATTACATAAATTTTTTTTGATTTAAATATTCTATTAAAGTGGATTAAAATGAATCCCTTTTAAAACAAAACAAAACTTGATGTACTTAAAAGAGAGAGAGAGAAAAACAGGAAGTTACAAAATTTTCTTTAGAGAGAAAAAAAATTTTTTTTTTTTTTTTTTAATCTTGTCTGTTATTTTATTTTTACCGTTCTTAATTTTAAAATCACGATTTTTTTTTTTTTTAATAAAGGAAGAATCATTTTGTTATAAATTTAAACCCTGGCACTTTCACTAAATTAAACGGTAGATACTCATACGACAATCTTTTTGTTAATATTACTATTATTATTATTATTGTTTCAAATAATTCCACCGAAAAAAAAAAAAAAAACAATTTTTTTTTTTAATAATGGCGGAAAAAACATGGCAGTAATTTTCTACACGGGGAACTTTCACCTCAAAAAAATGAATGGGAAATTTTTTATGAAAAAAAAAAATAATTATTTGGTCGCAAAACAATTTGAATAAAATTTTTTTTTTAATTTTCAACAAATTGAAAATTTTTTTAACAAACTTCCTGACGTCTTCCCCCCCCCCCTCGTACCTGTCTCTCTCTTTTCTTATGTATCT